CAGGGTACAGAGGAATAATATCTGAGTCCTCAGGAATGGCAACGCATGGGGGGTATCATGGGCGAAACAGTATACTCTGTTATGTCCATGGTACTGCTCATGTCTATAGGCGACAGTTACCGCTTTCCATCAGGTGGGCCGTCAGCTTGTTTGCCATTCTAAGTTGTATTTAAAAAAAAACTACAAGAAAAAACCGACGTCAATTATGGCAAAATAACTTATTTCGTTTTCATAACTACTGAACCAATTTTAAAAATTCCTATGGAACTAATCTGTAAATATATCCCTTTTAGATTAAAAAAAAAAAGAATTATTCAAATCGGTATACAACTAACGGAGTTATGAAGTAACAACGCTCAGGCTGTGGGGTAAGTTCGCTGTTGAGGTTCTCCCTAGAGACTACAGAATGGGGTTCTTCAAAAGGGGTATATTAAGATTTCCTCAGGGTTGACAACGCGCACGTAACTCCCCTAATATTGCAGGCGTCCATAGACTAGTGGTCGTTTACAATCAGACGAGCTGTATGCTTGTTCACCACATTTGTGGCATAAAAAAACAAAAAATTACAACAGAATTGAGGGCCTCTTTTTGAAGTTGTTGGAAACTAACTCCAAATTAACATCTAGCTATTGCATATAATGCAATATGGGATAGGCAGGGAGAAACATTCTTTGTGGTGTATAGACATAGTAGCATTTGAGTAAATCGTTTGTCCACGAGGGAATGAAACGAAAACACAAAGACACAATGCTATAGAATGGCCTAATCTTTTGTAACATTTAGCATTTTTTGTGTATCCGCATTTTGTCGAAGCAGAGGCGGCATTCAACTCGTTTATCACGATAATCATTAAAGTACATCGTGGAGCTTTACAAAAGCTTTTTTTTTATACAACTTAGAATGGCAAACAAGCTGACGGCTCGCCTGATGGAAAGTGGTAACCATCGTTTATAGACAAGAGCAGTACCATGGACATAATAGAGTACACTGTTTCGCCCATGATACCTCCCATGCGTTGCCATTCCTGAGGACTCAGGTGTTATTCCTCTGTACCCTGTAAATTCAAGCTTGTATAAAAGTGCATTATACGGATCTCGTTTTGTAAATCTACTTCAATTCTTGCTAATTACAACTAATAATTAATCAGAATTCCACAAAAAAACCGACTTCAATTGTGGCAAATCTAGGTACTTTTATTTAAAAACTAAAAAATTACTAAACTGATTTTGATAAAATTACAAATAAAAAAGTAATTTCCCTAATCGGTTTACAACTGACGAAGTTATGAGGTAAGAAACATTAAAAAAAAAATATACAAGCGAATTGAAAACCTCCTTGTTTTTGAAGTCGATTGAAAAATACTTTCAAAGACGTCTTTGTGTGTAGACACGTTTCACTCAAGTCTGACATAACATTGGAATCATGTGTATGTTCGTGTGATACGTTTTGTTGGCGCACGTTTATTCGCTCCACTTTAACAAGATCGATCCGTATACAACGGCGGACACCACACTGTCGGTACGTTGATTGATTAGTCGTTACCAAATACGAGTAACAACTAATTTGCCGTGATGGAATATTGATCGAAACATTTGTGAACGTGTTATTTTTGTGGGCAACGTGGGTCAGATACGGTAAATGATAGACTAAAATTATATACGATATAGAAACATTGAAAAACTATCGCTAAAAATATTTCCTCGTAACTTAAAAAAAAAAAAAAACAGTCAAAATTAACTGAGAAATCTATATGAAATACACTCTATAGAACATTCGATAAAATCCACCTTCATTAACCTTTTAAATATTTGTGTAGATCGTTTACTATATCGATTTATAATATCAAGTTTTTTTTTAAATTTCTTTATAAAGTCACGCTTTTCTCGTCTTTAGGATATATGGAAGGACTTTATTGTAATAGCCTTGAGTAATCTGCAAGCAAGTTTGCACACTGGCTGGCATTGTTTGCCACATTTCTATCCAAGCTTTAAAAAAAATAACTTGTAACAAAATAAAGCGAAACAATAACGGCTCCCATAGATCTAGTGATTACTGTTTATTCATGTAAATTTAAAACGCTCCTATCACTTTCTGTGCATTCGTGCGCTGCGTCCTATTTGGGAGTAACATAAATAATACTGTAATTGAATAGTTGTAGACGCCACACCAAGTCACGCCACCTAATACTATTCGGTCGTAAAGGACGCCCAATATAGAGTGGAAAAGAATTGTTAACAATTTTCTCGTAATAAAAGTAAAAGTCACGAGTCCAAAATGCTAATTCCTTGTGCGACGAACTACGAAGAATCTAATAATATACTGTTGCTAACTAAAGAAAATAAGAAAAAAGAAACATTTGCAATTATTTATAAATAATTTTTAATCTATAATTCAATACTATCCCCTTTGGTTTGGTTTGGTTTGACAAAACGTGTACAGATTATAAAAATAACATAATTAGTAATAGCTTAAATTACAGGAAATTGTAAGCGAAATTCACAGCGCATAATTACTATCTTAGTAAGAGTTGATAAAGACTACGCAGGATTCATAAAAGCTTCTCCGTAAATGTTCTATCTAATACCTTCGGCTAAAACTCCTGGAGCCATTCCAAATCTCACAACGGTAGTTTATAATTCTACCTAATATCATCCTCGTAGCCAAATTTTATGACATGTGATCTGGCAATATCTCTTTTTTCAACTGGATACCTCTTCCAATAATATATATATAATTTTGCGTGGGAATCGAGTGTCGAACCGATACGACAAATAGTACTATGTACACTGATTGGACACCATCGTTGAATATTGATGAGACGACCTCAGTCCTCGGCACTGTTTGTACAAAGGGCATTTGCTCTAACCCTGCCACTAGCACTGAGGTCTTGCATTTATATATCTTAGACACGCTATATTCCTAGTATTTTCTCATCACTAACTCTAAATTTTGTTTCTTTGTGTTTTATTAGACTAATAATGTTTTGTATTATAAGTTTTATGTTCACGTAGTCAAAACTTTTATGTTTTTGGACATAATAATATCTTTCTTTAATTAATTACTATTTAATCTCAATTGATAATTTTTAAATGCAACAGTCAAGGAGATATCAAATACTCTGCAGTACAATTTGTAATAATTTAATACATTTGTACTAAAATGTAATATATGTATTTTATTACGACCACTTGAGAATCAACACGCAACATCTGAAAAGCAACAGACATCCCAGGAATAATTTAAGAGAGACCAATGCAACAACAAAATACATCGATCGTGCCAATTCTTAGTATTTGTGTTCAAAATTATACATACCTACATAAAATACTACAAGCTAATCCTATCGCAGTGTGCATCGCAATTTTCCAGTGCATATCTACATAACAAATGCATCCATGATCCAAACGCGTTTGACGTTTCATTCATCATGTTTATACATGACTAATACACAATAATGCAATTATGCATTGTCAGAAATATACCGTTGACAATGCACCGGAGCCATCCGTTGGGAGCTTCATTATCCAGTAGATTTAATTTCCGTTCATATTTCTCTTAGTCAACAAATAATTAATATTTATTTCAAAATTAATATGTAAGGCCAACAAGAAAGTAAACCCTATTGATTATAAAAAAAACAATCAACACTATTCAGAATCGCTTAACATAAATAAAAAAGTAGAATAGACAATTTTTTTTACGTGAGGCAAGAATTACAATTAACAGGGTACCGAACCCACATAATCAAGAGCTCGGAATCGATACATTTCCGCGTCGTTTGCGTATCGGAGCGTATTTATCGCAACACTTCTATTTGATGGACATAAATTAACATTAAATAGACTCCTATATTTCCAAGTGGATGAAGAGGAAGTAAATGAGTCCCTAAAATTTTATTGCTCTCGGCTAATTGAGCTGGCGATTCCGAAAAAAAGTATTTTTAGAGCATTTGGCTCTTTATATATTTAACTTCACAATTCGTTTTAACAAAGATCTATTAAAAACAGCGCAAGTAAAGTGGTGTTGATAAATTAAAATTAATAAAGTCCTTTAAGTCTTTGATCTGTCTGTGCTTATTTGAAATTCAGATGGAGAAGGCGGCCGGCTGTTGGTCCGCGGAGATGACTCCGATATAATTGACTTTGTCAGTTCCAGCCTGGATAAATATTTCATCGGCTAACAATACGCCTACCGAATACATTTACACGAACGATATAATTAATGACACTATTACATTTACTTTATATTAGATTTGATTTTGAGCAATGATTATTACCTACTACTTACAACAAATGCCAACATTTTGTTCGTACAACCAACGTAGAACATTAAATAGATCCTATTAGAACATTGTCAATAGTGATCTGATTTAATAGAATCATTAAAAATATACAACCAATTAAACAACTAGTCATTTACCCAGTACCATTTAAGCTTAATAAAATGTCGAACATTGTGGGATATATTCAATTCTGAAGACACTAATTTTGGGAGATATTTTATAATCCCAGCTTCCAGTAATAACTAATAAATAACGGATGCGTAAATCCCTCAAGGATTTCCCGTTATTCATTAATAATTTGTTATAAAACAGAGTAACTTTATGAACAGCCATGCGGCCTTCAAAGTTTGAAAATAATTCATTTATTGCGGCCCGGCAATCGATTAGGAGCAGTCAGACAAAGCTCGTCTCATGTCATGGGACATTAATAATTCATAAACGACAGTGGGATCGCAGAGGCAAACTCGCCATGGATCCCTTGAAAAAGTTCATAATGTGATTTAGAGACACGCCAGGGCGTGAACTAGAACGAGCGAGCAAAACTTCTCTATGCGAAGTAATTTACGGGCTCTACGCGTTCCTGCATACTGAATCGAAAAATACATCCCTACTGCGCCACTTGTGCACGCTCGATATGCATTCACAAGGACAGCGCACCGTTAAACATAATGTACACAAGCTCTGTTTACATACTCACGAAAATTATTCTCTGTTGCAGGTGTATGGATCAGTGCAAGTGAAACCAGGACAATGTGTGAACTGTCCAGACGACAAAAAACTTTCAATGTTAGTGCGGACATATCGCGAGTGTCTAGTGACGGTAACAGTTAAGATAATGCGCGTCTAAGTTCGACCACGACGTCGAATTATTCAGAGTGGGGGGCGCTGGCGACCGCAGCCAGCGATGGTATGGACGTTGTATTTGGCAATGAAAGCGAGGGGGGGTGGAACGAGACCGAGGAGAGGACGAGTGAAGACCTTTACAACTACTGGGCATGGAGCATCATCGACGGCGCCTTGATGGTTCTCATCATCAGCGGAAACACTCTCACGATTCTCGCAGTGACCCTGAGCCGGCGGTTATCATCGCTCGTCTCCAACCAATTCGTGCTCAACTTGGCCATATCCGACTTGATGGTGGGGCTGACTTTGCCCTACCACCTCGTCTTCTATTTAGATTCAGAGTTTTGCAAGATTAAGTGGTCATGCTTGATGAGATTCATTCTCATAATCCTGGCATGCTTGGCGTCTATATATAACATCATTGCGATAGCCGTAGACAGGTGAGTCGTTCACGTTGTTCACGTAACATTCCTTTTACAATATCGTGGTCGCAAAACGTTGAAGCCCGAGAAATCAAACTAAAAATAGCTTTAGAATATTCTGTTTGAATGCACGCTATTTTATCACGAAATTGCAAATTCGACTAAAGTGTAGTATCGCAAAACGTAACGATCAGACACGTGCACATCAATTTACAGGTACATAGCTATAGTGCACCCGCTCCACTACAGCCGGTACATGACCAAGGTGGTGACCAGGCTGCTGATGAGTGCCACCTGGTCGGTGGCGGTGTGCATCAGTTGTATACCAATATTCTGGAACGACTGGCACGACGGCATCGCATGCGAAATGAATCTGGTGAGCAATTCTTTCAACTTTTTTCATTATACCTGCTTTTGGCGGAATTTACAGCGGAAAATAATTAACATTTTTATTATACTAAAGGTTATCGCAAACTAGTTATCGTCTGTGCCTATCTAATGGAATGTCATGACTATTGTCTAGAGACATGAACTAAAACTATTAACTAAATAAATATAAGACAAATTTTCCAATATTTTTTTTTCTCTGTATGTAATAATCATAATTTACCAGAGCCGAGACTTTGTACAAAAGTCGTTTGCTTGGCCACCTCTGTACCATTCGTGTTTCTACCGTGAAGCAGTTATGTTTGCATGGCTGTGTTTCGGTTCGAAGGTTGAGATATGGCAGTGAAATTACAGGGTACAGAGGAATAACACCTTAGCCTTCAGGAATGGCAATACATGAGAGTATCATGGGCGAAACAGTATACTCTGTTATATCCATGGTACTGCTCATGTCTATTACCACGACGGTTACCACTTTTAGACGGACCATCAACTTGTTTGTCATTCTGAGTTGCATAAAAAAATCATTATTGTGCGCATTTTATACAATTGGCTAACATCACGGACTCTCAGAGAATATTTAGCTCATACAATCAGACTCCTTTTCGTATTGTCTCTCGTTTAGTGTACACGAACAAGTTAAAATACAATATCAGCGGACAATTTTCCAAGTTGACAATTATCATGCACAGCTTATCTACGAATCACCACACCAGGATCCTATGTACTTTGCATAGCTTATAAAAATTTATCAATATCTACGTACCAGGCGTATCCTGTGACTGTATTTACATGCATTCGTATAAAAAGTTCCAAAATTCAAATCCATTTAGGAATAACTGAGTAATAAATATTCAAATTTTTATTAATGTTAGTACCATTCAGACTTGTATAACTAAATATATTTTGTTAATATCGTCTATACAATTACCGTATTTAAGGTCACAATTTAATATTACGACAGGGCTAAATATAGTCACGTCACGATGAATTGTTAACATAGCTATACGTGTAAATAGTTTAATACTGATTATGTGGTATGATTATAAACTTTAATCTTTAGATTAACCATATATACAGTAACAATTTTTTTTTAGACAATAATTAAAACAAAAGGGAAAGTTAAAACAAAAGCAGGACTTACTTTGGAAAAATAATGTAGTTACGCAGTGATAAGTATTGAAAATTAAATACAAATAAATAGTTATAATTAGTAAGAATTAGTATTTTAGTTATTCATAACATAACATTTACACGTAATGGCCATACATTCATTTACTGTGGAGAACCACTAGTAAGCTATCATAGTCAAGCTGTGAACTAATTTACCTAACTCACGGGTTCGTCCTCTTGAATCTTACATCCGATTCTGTTTTTGCAAGCGTTGCATGTACCATCACATGTCGAGTTATTATAAAAAAAAATTTAGGATATTTTTGGGACATCTACCAGAGCGACGTTATCGGATCAATACGGTGATGATTTAAATAATTATTTATCCCGTTATTTCAATACTTTTCAATGTTCATCGATGCGCGTACAACGAACATTGGAAACCATTCTAAACCGGATATATAATCATGTAAATATTTATACAAAATTAAAATTCGTTTACGCTCAAAACATACAAGTCTCAAAGCATGAGGCTTAAAATGTTCACATCTGAGAACATTCAAGTCTTAAAAGATTTAACTCTCAAAATAACACAGCATCAAAATGTTCATGTTACACAGCAGTACAACACATTTAAATCATTTATCCAATATTCATAAGATATAGAAATAGAAATAAAATTTAACCAAAGGCTAATGATAAATTTGCAGGTGGTACCAAAAGCGTACACGACAAGCATCCTGGCGCCGATGTTCTCTCTCATATGGATGGTGATGTTCATCCTGTACTGGCGGATATGGCGAGAGGCGACCTGCCACGCCAGGAGGATGAGGGCCAACACGTGCTGTCCCTCAGGAGCCAACGATTGGAAGAGTATACAGGTAAATATTATCATTCTGAGATATTAAGAGCAAAAATCGAAATCCTACTGCAACTGTTGAGAAATGAAGCTAGGCAAGATTTGATATTAATAATAGTGAATGACGACAATCTAAAAGTATTCAATTATTCTTATAGTAGGTAAATACAAAGTTTCATTTACGAACATACATTCGAAGTAATTTCACTAAAGCTTACTGTTTTATTAAAAAAAAATAAAAACATTAGAACGGTTACTAGTAATAGTGTACAATAATTATGGTCCAAATATTGATTACTTGCTATTTACAATTAATTAGAGTACAATGTATCATCACTATTTTTATCATCAAGATATCGTAAGAAATGACGAGAACAGAACACAAAAGAGGAAGAAAACTCGAAATAAAACTCTTATACTCTCTAGGTTTATGATCGCCTGGTCAACATGGAACAGTGGCACGTTAATGAGTAGCTAAAATAGAAATTTGAACTATGATCGTATAGTAGAGCTCTGTCAATAGTAGCTTTCAGCTTTCTTTTTCGTGTTTTGTTTAATAACTTATATTTAAAGATATCGGTTGCATTTTTTTTTTCATATTTAAGTTTTTGTTAAGTGTTTTTATTGATGTAACTGTTTGTCTACCCAAATAAATAATGAGAACCACTTTTCTTATGTCGAATATATTAATATTGGACAATACACAGTTAGCACTATGTATTGAAAATCCGTTAAAATATAAATATAAAACTTGTTTCCAAAACAACATAATAAACTATAATAGGTATCCTTTAAATAACGTTGTAGACTACTGCCAAAACCTTCACAATAACAAAAGCAGTCTATGGGGGAAGCCTATATTAGTATTGGACAGTTGAAATTTTAAAAACCGTGGAATAGTAGAACTACTTTAGAACGATTATACACTCAATATTTCATCAAGTGTCAACGATCAATTCCATCAAGCCATGGACAATAATGCCAATGGACATTAACGTTAATTATTTTAAAATTCCAGGTGGTGTTACTAGTCCTGGGTTCATTCTCAATATGCTGGATGCCGTTCGTGGTGGTGGCGTGCGCGCAAACTGTACCGTTAAGACCTTTTCACAACCCTATAGCATATCGGCTGACCTCGTCCCTCGCCATGTCCAATTCCGGCATTAACCCATTGATATACGCGTGGAAGAACGCAGGCTTCCGTGCAGCTTTCGCCAAACTGCTGCGATGCAAACGCCCAGACTCTTCTGAGTACAGAGGATCACCGGCACCAGAGAGAAAGAGATGTTCGGTAGCGCTTCGCGAGGGCTCCATCACGCGCTCCAGCGCTCCAAGCGGACTGTCCAGTCTCGGAGGCCGCCCAGCCAAGTTGCTGTACGTCGAACGGGAAACAGACACGTCCAGATGTCGTATCATAGAAAATGCAGGGTATATAGATTCCGATAGGGGCGATTCTAACCCCTCGTATGCGCCCGACGGGCCCACACCTGTGCACAGGCCGGTCCACCGCTCCCCAGATGTAGTGTAGTGTTAACATTTAAATGAACGATACAGACGTTTTGAGGGAAACGCGAAACGCTTCTAGTTATTAAAAATGTTAGTGACTGTAGGTACCCCATTTGCATTTAGGTACCTGTTAAAATCTACGCTCAAGTTTTAAAGGCTTTATTGTTGAAATTTTATTGAAATTCTAATGAGTTTTCCGCCATAAAAAAAAATTTAAACACAAAGAGGTTCTATGTCAAATAAATTGAGATGTTTAAAGGTATAATTATAACTACAATGTTCGATGTAATATTAAAACACATAATTAACTTGTTACGACTTTTATTTTGTATCCCTGTGTAGAACTAGTAGCGCCATCTACGCATGTTAGGACACTTTGTAACACTACTTTGCTATTTCAACGGTGCAAAGAAGAATTAAGTACACGGATAGCAGTACAGACATAGAATATATAGTTATAATACTTAGCAGTACTAACAACAGATAAAAATGATACACAGATGGCGCTGTAAGAACACTAGAAAGTAAATAAGACAGCGTAACGTAAGCATTTAAAATACTTTTACTATAATATTATTATCAAATATATTATAAATATATAATTGGCACGTGGATTGACAACCGCAATTAGGCTAAATAAATAAGCAATGATGAAGAGGATGGATTTAATGAAGATATAAGTGATAAAAATAATTGACATTCGAGATGTAATTCCTGAGAACTTTGTTATGTTTCTATACCCTTTAATTTCATTTCCGTATTTCACCCTTCAAACCAAAACACGGATGGGATAAAAACAAATACTGAAGCAAACGTCTTTTGTACAAAGTCTCCCTCTGATAACTTAAATGAAAATCAGTAAACAAACTCTACTAAAAGAACAATAACAATTTCCGCCTTTGGAAAGAAATAAACGATTATCGTTGTTCTAACCATTACCATTTAGACTGGCAATTTAATCTTATCATAATGTAGTTTTTAATGAACTTTAAAAAGAAGGTTTAAAATTGGCCTGTATCTCGTTTTTTTTATATTTGTCACGCGGTATCTTCGCAAATTCTAAACTGATTTTGATAATTGTTCAGCAATTAATCTGGTTTACTCTCGTGTCCATTTTGTAAGTGATTAAGTCGCAGATTCGTTGCAGAGTAAAATTTTAAATTACCACATTGGAAAAAAGAACATTTCTTATCCATACTACTACGTATAATATTATGTTAAATAATGCAGTAAATGAATTAAATAATTTATCGTATGAATAAGCATTGATTGTCTATTATCTATTAGTACTCGTAAACTATCAATATTTGTCACTATTCATTGCTGATAAGCAAACATAATCCCTTTTACAATTTCAGCAAACTGTAAACAATTTTATTTATAATTTTAGTAGAACCAAATATGCTTATGGAGTTACGGTAATGATGGTAACCTTAGCCCAAATCATTCCTCACACATTCCTAATGTCCACTCCTAATACTGAGGTGTTTTGCATCTTTTGCCAAATAATCCACTAGCTAAATACAATTCAATGCAATACCACTGCTTAATAAAAGGAATATCTTAAGACTATAATTATTGTAAGTACCTATAATGCTCAGACAAATCACACAAAACTCTATTCCCATTAAGTACTATTAAATATTTATTTATAATTTAACTTAAATTCAATTAAAATAGTAACAATTTCCATAAATTATTTATATTATTAATATCTTTTTTGTTTTGCCTCTTAATGCAAGAACAGTTAGATCTAATCCACTAGTATATTGTATTGAAATGCTACGCTGTATCTTATATTGGTGATCCAATAAATTAATTAATTAATTAAAGATACTTCAAACTCCACAGAACTTGTAGATGAAAATAGTCCAAGTGTAAATCGAAACCTCAGACGAATTACTAAAAATCAACTGCAGCTGACACATTACACTCTTTTGTTAACCTATACTATTTCAATACATAGTTTTTGTAAAGCCACGAGGTATAACATAGGCGTAGTTATTTAATAAAGACATTTCTATAAGTAATAGAAATAGAAGAAAATTAACTCACCTCAACGCCGGTCACACCAAGAGCCGTCACCAAATTCGGAGTCATCCTGAACGGCACCTTCTCAGGCACACGCAGCGTCTTGCCCTTCTCGAAACACACGTTATAGTCTATATGCACCACTTCACCCGACGTTAGATCCACCAGCACATTGTCCAAATGCCTGTCCCCAAGACCTATGATGTAACCGATCGTACTCATCACCGCGACCGAGTAACAGTAACGCCGCACCATCTGCCACCACTGCTCGGAAGTCACACTCCCGCACCATAGCTCTCTCCATAATAGATCCCGAGGGGTCTCCGTGGACAACTCCTGTAGCACTTGTTTCAGTATCGACACAGGCCATTCCTTCCTGTTCTCAGTCGCTATACCCGCCTCTTTGAGGAGTGGATTAAGTTTATTGTAAAACAGCTCGGATGGCCGCAATACATTGACAATTTTGTTCGTTTTAGCGGATAAGATTGCAGCTTCACGATTCTGCCATCGCTTGTATAAAGCGAAAAGTGGAGTTACATTGTCCACCCAGCTGATTAAACCTGAACGGGGGCCTAAGGGTATAACAGAGTAGTGACGCGCCCTGTACGTTTGATTGTCATTGTTTTCAGAATCGCGTGCCATCATCGTGTTGGTTATTGACAGAAGTTGCATTATTCTCTCGTCCAAGTGTAAATCTTCCAAGCCTTTAAAGAGATAAGTGTAGGCCTTACCATCGGATCCATAAAATATCAATTTTTTTGGTCTCGTCTTTGTCGGTAAAATGGATACGTTGTTTTCTACCGATTTTATAGTAACTCTGACAGTTCTTTGATTGGTATGTAATCCTGGCATAGTTATAACAGTATTTTTCAACTCTGCTAAAATTGGACTGATATCTGACATTTTCAATATATATGAAGTCCTCTTATTTATTTTCTGTTGTAGTTTTATCTGTAACTGCTTAAGCGGTGCCCACGATTCTTGTGGTTTTTCAGGATTCACCGGGTTTTTCAACTTCTCTATGACGTCTTTTATTATATTCTGGAACTTATTCTGAAACGCAGTTTCGTGAGGCGTTTCAGGTTTTGCCGATGTAATCTGATCCAAATTTTCTAATACAAAGACTATGGGCTCAAAAATTATACGGTGTTTTTCTTTAATTAATTTTTCTTTGTCTTCAGTGGAAAGATTTTCATTATTTTTCACTTTGATAACTTCAGCTTCTAGTTGTGACAATCGCTTACTGAAATCCGAGTGATTTTGTACCAAAGTACCCAAGCATAATTCGTCCCATAGCAAATTAATACGTTGTAACTCCTTCACTAACAATTTAACTTGAAGGATAGTTTTTGGAGCTTGCTTAGACAGTGTTTCTACCATATCTAAGAAACAGGAGTTTAGTTCGTTATTGACTACTTTATCACTGGCAGAATCTTCTAATTCACAATTATCGTCTCCACTGCTCGCGTCATTGGACAAGAAAGACCTAGCATTAAGTTCTCTTATAGTGCTCTGTTCATTTTCCACCGCACCCACAACCGCTGGAAATGTGATTAGATGTGGAGTATCTTCCGCTAATCTACATAATAAGTCAGAAACGCACTTTCTTACATATGTCTCGGGGTGATTAAGTCTTGAAAAGAGTTGTGGAATAATTACTTTCCAAGGTTGCGTCGGTGTATTGGCTAAACCAGATTCGAGAACGGTCTGTAATTCCATAGCGTGTTTTACAATCAAACGAAGAAGTCGTAGTGTAGCATTAACTACAGCATTTTCACCGCTGTGATTAATATAGTCTGCGGCACAAATAAGTTGTAAAAATTTGAAATAAGCATCAGCTGATAATTCAAAATAGGAAAAAACTCTTTTTTGTGCTTGACGCCAAATGTCCACCAATAAAGCGAGGTGTTCAGGAAAAGCTTTACTCAACGATGGAACGGTGCGCAACTGACTTTCGATCATCTCAGATGTGTTAATTTCATTCCAATCAATATCTTCATCATCACACGTAGCTTTTGTTTTAGACAATATTTCACAAACAGCATCAAAGTCCTGAGGCGAGCATCCGATCATTACACTTTCTATTTGTAATTTATCATTTTCTGTTAACTGTTCCCGGGTTTTAGAACTGAATTCCACCATTTTACGACCCCATCTGAAACACCAACCCGCAAAGTTTGCCCAAGCTTTTGCTAGACCAGGACATTGATTAACTCCAAACTGTAATAACTTTCCTACTGCAGAATCCGATAGAGGTATAACATTTTCTGATATGTTGTTATCTACTAAGCCAATTTCAGGCAGTGCTGACACTAGTTTTGATAAAGGCGTATCAACTTCTAAAACATTTTCACTATCATTTTGAACCCATTTAGAAAGAGTCAGTAACATTCTCGTACCTTTTTCTCTAAGTTCATAACTCTGTTCACCCATCGCAAGCCTTTGAGAAAATCCTAGGGAAATGCTGGCACACAAATTTATAGCCCTAGGTTTACTATCCTCTTTCGCATATGTTATCTTACATAGTTCCGCCAACGCTGTTGCATTATTTAATGTCCAGATATCTAAGTCATAAGTGTTAGTAGATCTTATTAAAACATTAGCTAAATCATCCAAATGATTGACATTTCCGAAACATATTTGGAAAGCAGAGTTCTGTTTGAAATACTTCAAAAGTTCTCTTTTAGCCATATTCAAGTTCGAGTTTTTCCTCGCGCTTTTAATGACATCCAGTCGAAGACATTCACCATAAAAAACATTCTCTTCTGTCGTATTTAATTTTGTGAAGTATTGATTCCACCACAATATTCTGCTAAGATTCCGAAGTTCAGTGACATATTTATTTTCCTTAATAACACATGGTTTAAATGGATTAGTTATAGCTTTTCCATTCTTTAGAATATTTTTCAACCCTTTGTTTGCTAATTGTAATACAGAAATTTCTTTAAGGAAATGTACAGTATTCGTTCTTGAGAATTCTTCCATGCTTGAATTAAGCAGCATTTCACAGTCCTTTAATAAATTTTCATATTTATCCGAATAATCAGAATAGTAAATGTTAACAGCAGTGAATACTAAAGTAGACTCAATTTTGTTTAACAAACCTTGGTATGAGCAAGTGTTCTTTGATATTTCAGACACATTAGTATCAAGTATATCCCAATTGCATAACTCCTGAGGTATTTCATTGCCGTCTTCAAACATGTTCAATACTGAAAATGAATTCCATTGCGAATTTTGTGCAGTCTGTTGTACACTTTGTTTCCATTCATTCATGTCCTCCCAGCTCTGTATCTGTTTATAACTATCCATAATCTGCTCATCAATAAATCTAGAGACTCTCGTGTCTATTTGGGTATTTGGTTCTCCTTCTTTGTCGTTATCAGAGATAATGTTACTGTTTAGTTTTTTGTAAAATTCCACCGCTAATTCATACTTAGCATTAGCTTGTTCCGCAGCTCCTTTTAACCAAGGAATTTTTTTATCAAAGGTTTGCTTGATCCAAATATAGAGACCATGTAAAACTTCAGGTTCCTCAATTTTTATTAAAGCCCTTGCGACACTCATTGTAATTGCTTCTATATCAATATTCGTATTACAATTAGCAGCAGTTTGTAATATAAGAGAAGCATGGTAAATAGCTGCACCAAAATTTCCAGCATAAAGACTTACAGCTAGTGCTGCAGGACGCACTCTGGTCAGCCATTCACGACAAGTTGACCAGTTAGTATGAAAAAATGTTCTGACAGGTTTCTGAACAGCCGGCAATACTATTGCTGTTCCTTCAGCAGCATTGTATATGTATTTTTCCAAAAACATCATGAAATCAGTTATCAGACGCGATCTTATCTCTTCTGCAACCACAACATCTACTAATTTTTGTTGATCAGTGGCTGTATATTTTGTTTCCAATGATGAAATATCTCTGGCTATACCCTTCAAAACTCCTTCAATTTTCATAAATGTTTCTTGTGGTTTCCCCAATGTAGTTCTTAGCTTTAAAGAGACACAAGTCTGTGCTAATTCTGATAAAACCCAGCCAATACAAATAGACGAAAAAGATGTTGCACACTGTCTGAAAAATAGAAGATTATTCTCATCAACATCTTGACTTTGTAGAGGCCATGCTGCCAGAAACACATCAATAAAAAAACTGTTATTCTGAAAAGATAATTGTAGTATACTATTCATTACAGCCTTAAAGTGGTGATTGGATAGCATTGAGAATGACCCATTCATGAGATACTCTTTAAAGGAATTAGCTTTGGTGTCAGTATTTAATATATTTAAAATCAATTTCCTGCTAACAAAAACTTTCACTACTTGTTTATCTAACTCCTGCTGCACTATGTCCCATGGTAATTCAAATAAGACTTCTTTAGACAGATCTGATAAAGCTTTATTTTGGTTGTCAATATGTAACATACATAATGTAACTATGGTCTTCACCACTATAAGATTCCATGATAAACTTTTATTTTTGAGTAAATGTTGACAATTCTTCATAACCAACAGAACAATATCATCATCAAAGTTATATGCTAGAGACAGCATATTTGTTATTAAAACAACAAATCCTTTTGCTATGCTCACAATTGGCAAATACTTATCCAGCTGAATGAATATATCTGATATCCAGTTTAAAGCCAAGAGTAAAGTTTCTTTTGGAAGTTCTTCATCTAATATCATGCTTAATGTGTTCAAGATTACAGCAAGATGACCTGATGTGGGACTGGAACCTGACACTTCACCCATGTTGAGATTAGACAAACCAAATATATCACCAGTCCTCTGCTGTGTGTTTGTCACTAAATCACTGGAGGCAATGAAATGATTGTTCTTCTTGCAGTGAGAGTAAAGTAGATACAATATTGAATATTGAAGTGCTGGTTTTTGCCGTATCAAGATTTCATTGTGAGAACACATTTTAATAGCCAGCAATTCTAGTATGCTAGGCTGTAGAGCCCACATTCCAATGATGGAATTACTAGCATTAGCAAGCTCTGATAAACATTGCAGATAAAATATGATATTTTTTTCTGCATCTTCTATTGAGACTTCTTCGGCATATTCTGATTTTATTATTTGTATATCTGGTATAATGACAGAATAAGAGTTCTGTATATCAGTCAAAACAAATTTGTATGTCTCCTGCAAAAGTGGTATGTTCTTCAAATTCAATAGATTGCTATACACTGAGAGAACACCATACAGCACTTGAGAGCTTTCTGAATAACGTAAAGGACGTAACAAAGATTCAGGACCTATTGTTTGCATTATAAACTCTATAGGAAGATTTGATGCAATCTCTTTTATAGTATTTGATATTAAATTTATAACACTAAGACAAACAGTTTCATCTGCTTGCAAAAATGTTGTCATTTCCATATAAATTAATGTGTACAAAGCAGGAGTACAAGAAGATGATTTTGTTTGCAAAAGTTTAAGTAATAAAATGATGCATTCATTACCTGACAGTATCAAATCTGTGTCAGCTTCTTCACTAAGGATTTTAGTCAAAACCTGTACAATTTTTGTAAAAGATTCAGTCAGGAATGACCATGTAACTATTTGTGACATTGTTGGACTAAGGAGAGTGCCGAGACTTTTCACAACTGTATTGAAGACATTAAGAAATGATGTAATTTTCTGCATAGAATCTTCTTGAGATGCCACTTCTGTATCATTATCACTCTTGTCAGAATCTAAAGCAGTTGAGTATGCCACCATGTCCTCAACAAATTGAAAAAGCATGTTGACAGAAAATCCAACATCTGCCTGCCAATGCCGACTTAATTTCAAAAGTGACTGAAGTGCAAAATCTTTTATTTTCTTCGGCTGAGCATTGTCCACATGCCAACCCACTAGAATGTCAACTATGTCAATAAAATGATTAGCAAAGTGCTCTGGATAAGAATTTGACATGATAATCATTGCATTTATAGCAGCAATGAACACATCTGCTGAATCTGTACCTTCAATGATAGTTTGCAATTCATTCAGTGTCATATCTGCAAAATCTGATAAATTTAGTGTTTCATGGTCCAACTGAAATGTCTCTGTGAATGAAAGTGTTAATAGATGTTTTATAGAAGTATTATGTACTGCATATGTAGATCCAAACCAATCAAGGTGTTTCCTAAAATCTGGGCCCATAACATAGCCAATTCTCCCCAGAACAACTGCAGCACCTTCTTTTGTTTCAGGGCCTGGAGCATCATAGAATACATCCAATAAAGACTCCACCAAAATATCATAAGCTCTTCGTATGTATCGCGCATTGTCAGGAAACATTATAGCATCTTGTAATTTACTACATATTATGAGCGACTTCTCGACGTCGATTTCAGCGCAGAGGCGACGTAGCAGTTTAGATATACGTGGATCTTCAGGAAGATTCATTACCAGTTCGGATCTCTCATAAAATTTGTTACTGTTATTTCCCGGAGACCAAGAGTCACTATTCGTCTGGCCTAGCGATTCGTTGTATTTATAGGAACCGTCGAGAGGATCACGATCTCCTCTGGGCGGGAATCCTCCACGGCCCCGGCCACCACGTCCACCCCCTCGGGAATGCCGGAACTCGGTAACCCTACCTCGAAAACGGAACCGGCCATCTCTGGAAGGACCTCCAAATGACGACGATGTGTCGTATGAACTAACATAACCTCTGACCTTATCATCCGTTGTGTTTTCTTGTCCTATTTCGTCTCTTTCTGGGGCCTCGGAGTTCTCCGATCCCTTTGGATTTTTTACTTTACTATTTGCAGTGGTGGATAGCATCACTAGAACTTCGATTAAATACGTATTTATTGCCACACATGGCCGTAAAATTACGTTAAAATACGGGCAAAACAGACGATTTTCGATAACAGTCAACAGGAAGCACTATAGACGACACTTGACAACTCAACCGTCAAACTGACAACTTGGACGTCATGAACGTCAAAATGAGTTTAAGAAATAACGAATGGATTTAAACGTTTAACAATAACATAGATAAAGAAAAAATATGAATTTATAACTTTAAAAACGTAAAGAATTGAGATTTACGAAACTTAATTATGAAATTATCTACTTGGACAATATATATATTTACAATATATGATGTTTTTTACACATTAAAATACATTTTATTACCCCTTTTGAGCCACGGCTGTGTATCTATGGCCTGTATATATTTTGACATTGCGTCATTCTCATGAAAATTTTTAAAAAGAAATCCTAACCTATAAATTGTAAAACTAGTAAATATTGAGTTATTTGATTTGAATCTAAGCAAAAATCAGCAAATAACAAGTGATATTGTATTCTAAACAAAAATATAAATATTATTCAAGTCTAAATTTAGAATTCTTTCATTAAATAAACAACTTTTTTTAATCTTAATTTTAAATTCTGTAATATACATGTGTAATAAAAACAATGAAAACCACAAAACGTACACATGAATTTAAAGGTATGTATTTCTTTAATAGAATTAGTAGGTCACATTTAAATAACAAATTATTTATTATATATTCTGTGACATAGGTATTAACCTTATATAGACACCAGTCTCTCGTAAAAACATATGTATTATTTAATTTCAGCCTTAGAGCTAAAACTCGCAGAGGATTCACAATCGCCACACACAATATACATCAAAGAACATGTAGTAAGAGAACACACCAAGGACAGACCGTCAGGGAGAACTTTGCTAGTCCTCAATGTACCGCCGTACGCAGACGAGAAAGGTATAGAGAACGCATTCAGGGATGTCGGCGACATAGAGTCAGTTCAATTCTCACTGAAACCAAGTGGAACAGACACAAAAAGTGAGAGAAAATTCATTGAGAACATAGATAAACCTTCATTTAGAGTGGCTTATGTAGTGTTCAAAAAAGTGTCTGAATTAGATAAAGCATTAAAATTGACACATCTATATCCAATGAATTCTAAAGACCATAGCATAAAACTAGGTGTGAGGAAATGGATTGATGAATATAATAACAGTGTCTTATTGCCAAAAATTGTTAAAGAAAGAGTAGAACAATTTATGAAAGTACATGATGAAGAGGCAGATCTTACTGAAAAGAAAGAAAAACAATTAGAACAGGAAGATGATGAAGGTTGGATCACTGTGACAAAGAGAGGAAAAGTGCAGAGCTTCGCCCGAACAGAGAAAGTGGAAAATAAAATAATGGCAAGAGAAGAGAAGAATAAAAAGAGGAAAGAATTGAAAAACTTTTATACTTTCCAAATAAGGGAATCTAAAATGAAACACATTGTTTCCCTTAGGCAGAAATTTGAAGAAGACAAAAAGAAAATAGCACAAATCAAACAGAGTCGTAGGTTTAAGCCATTTTAATAAATTTCAAAATAAATAATGTTATTTTTAATTATATATATAGAAAAATCGATACTATATATATATATATATATATATATATATATATATATATATATATATATATACTTTCCCCTTAGTTGATCATTATTTTATTAAATCACATTGAAATAATTCATATAAGCAAATCTGCAAGTTACAGCTTGTATTATGGTTTTTTGACTACCATGTGTTAAACATAAAGATGTATCTCAACATTACTGTTACATTTACCAACTTTAAGTATACTATTATTGGTATCCTAATGAGTTGACAATATAAAATAGAATCTCAAAGCAGTATTCAATAAAAATATTTTATTATTGAATACTGCTTTGAGATTCAAGTTGTGGCATTCTAAATTCAATCATATATGGAGGGAAGGGATTGTTAGTAATGGTGACTAAGAATCCCATTGCTAGCAATATACCCAACCAGGTCGACCTCCTTGCGGTCTCCCCTGGAAACTATCATGGTTAATTCCTGATGAATTCATCATGATGGGCTAATTGGCCTGTTTTCATTCTCATCGATCACCCTTCACTGGTGCTCCGCCAGCGTATCCCATTAGGGCAGGCAGGATTACCATACCATTTTCACCCATCAAAAAAAAATTCAATCATATTAATTCCAGTGACATAATTAAACACTAGTTGTGAGAAAACAATATTTTTTTGTATCACCAGTATCTTTAAAATTCGCCATAAATCTTAATGATTATTTGCAATTTATAGTTTCAAGAAAATCCTTATTAAACTGCCAATGAAATTTAAAATTTTATAGTATAAAGTATGGAAAATTTCAAATAAAAATATCACAAAATTTTAAGTTGTAGATTTATATACAACTTGTTGCTTTAATTAATAAAAAATAACAAGTTTTAATGTAGATTTCGGAATTGAAAAAATTTACAATTTTCATAGAAACTTAGTCTTTATAATTCAATATCAAAGGTTACAACAATCGTTGTTCATTAGGTATCACAGAGAAAATAAAGGGCGACATAGACAACTGATAATTATGATGCGTTCTCATTATCTATATTCTTAAGGCTAATTGTACATTGTATAAAATTAGAACTTAAAATTTTAGCATTCAATCAATGCACAAATTATATGATTCTATATCTGGTCTTTTTTGTGAATATTTCTTTAATATACTGATAACAATCTTACTGGTTATATTCAAGACTTGAGATATTACAGTTTGAAAAGATTTGATATGGTAAGAAGAATTGTAGGGACAAAAATATCATAGACTACTCTATGACGCCCACATTACTCCTCAAGTGTTGCCATTACATGACTATGGTGTTATATGAATTTATAAAAACTAATGTGTTAAATTATTCTTACTACATAAGACGTAAGAACAATCATTGATTGTTTATTAATTAGTCTTGTATTATATTTTTTATATGCAACTTGGATGGTTCTATCCTAATGATCTATTAAGAACTTTTTTATACAACTTAGAATGATTAGATTTCAACTGGCAACCGTCGCCTATAGACATGAACAGTACTCTTTAAATGCCTTTACATTTTTGAAACAATAGGTACTTTAAATCGCTACATTTCATAGAACGTGTCAGATGGCTTGCTGGTGCGTCTTGATGATGATCCTCAATAACCTGTTCTCGGGTAATGTGTCAAGCAAAGTCAGCAGGTTGTTAATGTTACCATACACACATCCATTTGCTAACGCAACTTGGACAGATTGTCCTATTCTGTCCAGACAATCCTGTGAACAATTAATAAAAAATAAATGTGAATACATAAAAAAATAGATGAATCTAATGCACTGCTAAATATTAATAGATCTTTACATATTATAATAAAACCGTAACGAAGTCAAAAGAGTTTACATAAAATATTTTTAAGAAAATTACAATATGAAGTTTACATGATACTTTTGTTGTGTTAATATTAATATAATGGAATATTTATTTGTAAAAGAAAAACCAAGACTTATTTGCATAAAAAATAATTACAACAACAATGAGATCACTTATAGGTTTTCACCAACAGACGCAATATACTGAATTTGACAGTACTCGCCTCAAGTAAATAACCCAAAGAGTATCGAATTATTATTTCAGGCACCCACACACTTGAGGCAAACATGCATACTTACATACGCATGGCTACCATAGAATATCAGCGATGTAGCAATAAATTTGCTGCAGCACAAGCTGAGTGGCGACCATGTTGGCAATAACCAATGTGAAGTTTGTTTTCTATTGATAATTAATGTAACTCTTTTTGTTGCTGGCAATAAATGTTTTCTTTCTCAGACTATATATATATATATATACATACATAATACAGTGAACACTATAGTACTTATATATAAGCAACTCATTTGAACCAATTTCAATAAAAAAAATGTTATTGAGAAAAGTTGCTTATAGAGAAATAAGGACTATAAAAATACTTTACTGTCTGAAAAATATTTTTACTTATTTCTGTTACTAAGCTGAGTAGAATAAATAGAATATAAAGAATCCTGTTTACAGAGAGGTTACTTATAGAGTGTTCACTGTATATATAATTTTACTTATTAATATAAAGATACTGTGTAATTCACCTGCAATTTGTCATCTGTATGTAATTTCACGCCTCTCTGCAATAATTGGTGTGCATATGCCTGCACCAAGGGTACCAGTCCAGCTAGATGCTGGGCGTTTACCGCCGTGGGGGGGCCGTGGGTGCGTCGACCCGCCCGCAGACTATGTAACACGCCCAAATGTAGCTTTATATACAACTCAGACTCGGTTAGTGATTTGTTCACGTAATTCTTCACTATGGATTGCTCTTTTTCCCCCTCTATTTTTATTTTCTTGAATGGTACTGCAACTTCTACCATTTCTGAGTCTGAAATATATAATTTATAAGATTAAAATACACATTCAAGTATTTCTTCGTTTATACTCGTATTTGCTAATACAAACACACGAACGTCCCATTCGTGTTTCAACCGTAAAGCAGTTGTGTTTGCATGGCTATGTTTCGGTTTGAAGGGTGGGATATAGCGTGAATTTACTGGGTACGGAGGAATAACACCTGAGTCCTCAGGAATGGCAACGCATGGGGGTTATCATGGGCGAAACAGTATACTCTGTTATGTCCATGGTACTGCTCATGTCTATAGGCGACGGTTACTACTTTCCATCAAGTGGGCCGTCAGCTTGTTTGCCATTCTAAGTTGTATAAAAAAAAATGTGGTTATAATATGTGTTTATAATAGATATATAATTTAGATGGTAAAACTGTATAACAGGGTAAATGTATTGTTAGTAACGTGGATAGCAGCCCCAATATACACTGTCAGATCAATTACACAGTTCCCCCTAGAAACTTTTTTTTTTACAACACGGGGCAAACGAGCATGCGGCTCACCTAATGGTAAGTGACTACCGCCGCCCATGATCACCTACAACACCAACGGCATTGCAGGTGTGCTGCCGGCCTTTTAAAAAGGAATATACTCTTTTCTTAAAAGTTATGTTGTCGTATCAGTTTGGAAATACTGCTGCTGGAAGTCCATTCCAAAGAGTGGTTGTGCGTGGGAGAAAATGCATTGAAAAACGCACGGTCGAGGATCACCACTCGTCCAGATGGTTGGGATGAAATTTTAGTTTATGGCGGGTAGTACGATGATAAAAATCAGCAGCTGGTATCAATTAACTATTGTGGTTAACTCTTGCGTAATTTATCTCAAAGAACAAACGGACATAATGTAGTTTGAGTACTGAACAGTTAACACTAAGCTCCGGGGGGAAAGGGATGGTTAGCAATGGAGTTTGACAGCCCCCTCGCTAGCAATATGTCCTCTACATGGTTCCCCCTGGAAACCATCGTGAACAATTCTTGTTGAATTCGCCAAGATGGGCTAATTGACCTGCTTTCATCGTAACCTATCATCGCTCACTGGTGCCCCGTCAGCGTATATTGATAGAGCAGGCGAGGTTACCATTCCATTATCACCCATTAAAAAAAAACAAAAGGCTCCGAGCAGCGATCTAATAATTTGCCTGAAGATGCCTCTTAGTGGTGAAACACGTGTTGCAACACGTGCGTGAACAAAATGGCGGTCGGAGATTGATGGCTGATAAGGGAGGTTGTGAAACAAAATAATTCTAATCATATAACAAATGAATTGACTTCATCAACCCTCACCTATCTTTCCTCACTGATATCCTGCAAACATAAACCAATGATGCACGCGGTGTCACCATACCATTCTCATTTGTCCTTTCTAAATGGTAATATACCCAATGAGATATCATTGACCATTTATAGAAAAAAACGTTTTGGTGTAACAAGTACCATTATATACCGACCAGTTTCAATGTATAGTGGGGCTAATGCACACCAATGTATTAGGCCGGCGAGTGGAGTCACGGCGGCCATGGGGATCGCGCCGTTCGACAACGCCGCTGGGTTCAGTTGTGCTGACATGCACAGTGTTGGATTTGAGTAAACCTGAAATGCAAATTTAAAAATCATACATACATACATACATATCTGTCGCGCCTGTCTCCCATTAGGGTACGCAGAAACAATGGAACGCCAAATTTGAATTCAAACAAACCTCTTTCGCTTCTTCCACATTCATCAATCATTTCATACACGCTCTCTTGTTATGGGTAGTTTTAATTTGGCCCTTCTTCAGCACCACCAGAAGGAGACTTTGTACAAAAGTCGATTGCTTAGCTACCTCTATCACATTCATGTTTCAACCGTGAAGCAGTTTGCATGGCTGTGTTTCGGTTTAAAGGGTGGGATATGGCGTGAATTTACTGGGTACAGAAGAATAACACCTGAGTCCTCAGGAATGGCAACGCATGGGGGTATCATGGGTGAAACAGTATACTCTGTTATGTCCATGGTACTGCTTATGTCTATAGGCGACGGTTATCACTTTCCATCAGGTGGGCCGTCAGCTTGTTTGCCATTCTAAGTTGTATAAAAAAAAGCCGCCTATTTAAAAATCAATGGTAATCAAATGGCATGGTATCATAATAATATACAGACTTGTCAATTCAACATACTGTCTCATCTTTCAATGGTTGTGGGTTCGAACTCCATGCAATGCAATCAACTTCTATGTATATCCGTTTGTATTGATAAAGTGTGAAATATTGTATAAATAAATTATAAAATATTTTACAAATAAATCAAAAATAGAATGTAAATGTAAACATCTGTTACTTTATTCATTTTTACGTTATCTCTTATCACCTTGAGGACTCGACCAGCATGTTACCCTTACTAATAAAATAAATGTGAATGTGAATTTATTTGTTACTTTATAACACCTTAACGGCTTAACCAATGATTAAAATTTGATATAAACATACTATATGGAAATAAGAAGGATGCAACTTTTTATTCTGGTCAATAAACATATCGTGGTCACGCGGACAAAGTCACAGGTAAAAAGTAGTGTTATATATATATATAGAGGACAAATTTGAAGATAGAAACCAATAATAACCTACCCAAGATGTGATTACTTCTAAAAGATTCTTAGGCGGTAACTTATTCACTCCTTGGACATCGTGTAGGTACAACTCTGTAACTGCGGTGATGAAGTTGGAGACAAACTGCGGCGCTGTGGTGGCCAGCGCCTTGAGCGTCATCTGATTGGACGTGTTCAGGTAGAAGTGGTCTCGAATAACATTCTCCACCAGTTGCAGAGATTGGGGTGATGAACACCCCATCTGCTGGAGCCATACGCCAACAGCTAATAAGACCTGAAATATACATCTCTTTAACATATCTATCTAATATAATATTTTGTTCATCTGCAGTTTAGTCCCAGATTTATTTTACTAAAAGCTATTTGGTTATTGGTGAATTCAGGGCCAATTTCCATCTGATCATAATTGCAATTATAATGCAATCTTTTTTTTTATACAACTTAGAATGGCAAACAAGCTGACGGCCCACCTGATGGAAAGTGGTAACCGTCACCCATAGACATAAGCAGTACCATGGACATAACAGAGTATACTATTTCACCCATGATACTCCCCATGCGTTGCCATTCCTGAGGATTCAGATGTTATTCCTCTGTACCCAGTAAATTCACGCCATATCCCACTCTTCAAACCGAAACACAGCCATGCAAACACAACTGCTTCACGGTTGAAACACGAATGGGACAGTGGTAGCCAAGCAATCGACTTTTGTACAAAGTCTCCCTCTAGTGGTGTTCTCAGATGTTCATAGTGCACTAACTGGATGGTGTGATAATGTAGCACTTGAATAGTGGATATCATATCAGTCATTAAAATAAATAAATATTATCTAGGCACATTTATATAAATACTAATATAATAATTATGTGTATATTTTTATCTGTATTTATGTTACTGTATTTCACTTGAATTATTCACTTGTCATTGTATATTTTTATTTATGGTGCAATAAAGAGTTAAATAAATAAATAAATTTTATATTAAAAATTACTTACAGAAGTACTAGAAGCAGAAACAGCCATACTAGCAAGTATACTCAGTATTTTTAACCTCCTCTGACTCTCCATGCCTCCGAAGAGCGATAGGAATACAGTATTCTTAGTAGACTCATTAGTACAAGAAGACAAATAGTCACAGATGATGTCAATGAGTTGCAGCTGTTGTAGTGGGGTCAGACCACCGCTGCGGCGCCCACTCCGACGGTCCGTCTCGCAGAATACAAATTCTGATATAATTTCTATAGCACCATCCACTTGCTTATTTGATGTACCGGCACGACCGACTAGTATTTGTTCTGTTACACAAAATAAACCAATTACTACACGTTTTATGAACTTAATAGACATCTTATATTCAATATATATAAGTATAAAATAGGAAATATAAGGAATCAAGCAGTATTTTGCATGACAAGGAGAATGGTGGCTTCAGTTATCCCAAAATTAATATAAAATCAACATAAGACTGAACCTTCTTAATAAAAAAAATACTGCTCCCAAGGGCACCCACTGACTAAGAACAGTATTTTGGAAATTGACAGCTAAGTAATAAACTTAGTTTTGACCATTTTATGTTACTGTGGCACATTCACGAAATGAAAAATTATGTTAGTTCTTTATGCATTTTCCTTTTTTTGTAGATGTATTTTTTTCTTTTTATTTTTTGCGTAAGTGTCTATATCTGTTTTTATCTGTTCTATGTAAAATTGCTCGAAAACGTTGCAAAAATTACGAAGTAGATATATTAAGTATAAAAAAATCTCTTCTTCATTGTGTTTCTTTTGTAGATTTTCATCCAAATAGACTTAGTAATTTAGGCATTAAGATTACCTAGATAAATTTAATACTATATTTATTATTATATATTCAGACCGTGAATTTTATACTGACCAATACGAATAAGAGCTTCCTTAGCACTCACAGGAAATTCATACTTTTTTAAAGAATGTTTAATATCTGATAGGGACATTTTAAAACCCACGTTTAATAATAACAGATAAAAGGACTATAATAAACTTTAATAATAACAGGTAAATATAAACATTTTGGATAGACTATAGCACAAAACAGTTCGACGATAGATGACAGAAGACAGAATCAATAATAATGACAAATTAGACAACTATCGTTACACAGTCTGTCATAACGATCACAATCTAACAGATTCAAAAATAAAAAAAATTACTAATAAAGAATTACAAAATCTTTAAAAATAGGCATATCGAAAATTTTAATTTTAGAGACAAATCATAGATTAGAGACACTATGACAATATGTCCAGACTGTATTTCATAATTCCTTTGCCTTTCCATGTTGAATAAATTAATATTACTACTGTCATCGGCATTTGACAATTTGTCCATCTACTTCAATTACTTATATGTATTTTATTAAAATGCAAAGGATTTGATCTGCTTACTTTTATCTAGAAATTGTAATTTTAAAAATAAAAATGGAAGTAATAGTTGCAAATGTTGATCATATCAAATTTGATATAGATTATGCGTTAGAAGAACAATATGGAGCTCTTCCTTTACCTTTCCCGGGAATGGACAGTATGTATAATTTTTATTATTTATATCCCTTATTTACTTTATTGGTATTATTTATTTTGTATGGTTACATTTATTTCGGTCAATTTTATGTTATGGTATAATACAAATAATAAACTGTATAACCTAATTTTTAGAGTCAACAGCTGCAGTCTGTGAATTCTTTAGCCAGCCTGGAGGCTGTGGTAATGGCCCGCAATGTCCTTACAGACACGTGCGAGGTGATCGCACAGTGGTATGCAAACATTGGCTCAGAGGTCTGTGCAAAAAGGGTGACCAATGTGAATTTCTACATGAATATGATATGTCAAAGATGCCTGAGTGTTACTTCTATGCTAGATTTAATGCATGTCACAATAAGGAGTGCCCATTCTTACATATAGACCCTGAGAGTAAAATTAAAGACTGTCCATGGTATGTATCTCATTATCTATTTTAATACAAATAATAATTATATTGCAGTCAAGAAAAAAAAACTTTTGGTACCTCTATATTACCATACCCATATATAAGGTTATATCTTGGATTGACCAAGAATCATAGGTAAAATAATATTTATGTTAAAAAGTATATTGATTGCTTCCATTGTGCTGTAGTAATATTGAGTCATTGCAGTGATAAAAGATTACATTTATGATGGGTTTTATTAATTTTACTATTTGGAATGTTAAAATCAACATTTCCATCAACTTTACTCTTTTTAAAACCTTTGTAACATTGGACGAGCTTCTTATTAATTAAGACTATAGTTTTCCTTGTCTTACCTTTTCTATTGTCACTGTAACATCATCATCCCATCTTTTCATCTAAATATACTATATATAATAATTCTCTCATACAAAACTAATTTAAAAAAATTGTGTTAGGTACGATCGTGGATTCTGTAGACACGGGCCGCACTGTCGCCACCGGCATGTGAGACGTGTACTCTGTATGAATTATCTAGCTGGCTTGTGTCCAGATGGGCCCAACTGCAAGTACATGCATCCACGTTTTGAACTGCCCGCACCCCCTGAACAGACAAAGGATGCAAAACGTTTGCCAATGTGTCACTACTGCTTTGAAGTTGGCCATAAGGCTTCATCTTGTAATAAAATACCTCCAGAAGTGAGTATTATTTTAATTCTTTATTAATAAATTGTAATAGAATTTTATAACAAAATATTGTAATCCTGAAACTTGTCTTGTAATTACTTAGTTCTCATTTAATAAGAGTATATTTTGATATGTTTGTGAAAGAATATAAATAGGAGTTAAAGTAAAATTGTAGTAGATCATTTTCAGAATATATATATATATATATATATATATATATATATATATATATATATATATATAAATATAAAATTAATAATTAATGCAGATACCATATAAAGCCTCTACAAGACATTAACATAGAATTATTATTTTCAGCAAAGAGAAGCAGCTCAAAGACAAGAAGAAGCAAGATTCCGTGCTCTTGGTTATGTAAAACCTGTTAGCGAAAATGAGGAACCCAATAGAGGCCTCCAGAGGATGATGCATAAACCCCTTGAAGAAGTAACATGTTTTAAGTGTGGAACAAAAGGACATTATGCCAATAAATGTCCCAAAGGTCACCTAGCCTTTCTGTCCAGTCAAGCCAATCAGAATAATCAAAATAATTTTAAAAAGCCGAACTAGTGTAAATATGTGAAGCCATATGAAATCTAAAGGCTTCGAAACTGGTATGTGATTATGAACCATGATAAATATGTAGCTGGGAATAACAGTAATATTTCAAACCAGTTGATTTTAAGTAAATGTTTTGTATTTACTTATAACTATTGAATTAATTGATTACTTGTTTGGAAATACTAAGTAAAAAAAGAAAATATTTTACAAAATAAACTCTTCAAATAATATCTAATTATTTTTTTATTAATAAAACCCTACTTTATATTGTTCTAGCTAAATTGTATTTGTGTACTAAATTCGTATTTGGAACTTGGATTCAATATAGTGAGCAAAATGATGATATAAAACCAATTCGATATCATTTGAAAATGGACTCTCGCCTGATATGGCTGAAACTCGTAAATGAAACAGTGATCCACTAGGAACCGCGTAATTTGCAATAGTAATTATAAAAAGTTAGGCACTTTAACTTAAAAAAAGTTTTTCTAACGCGATGTTCTTACGCTATTATTCAGCATGCCTGACTCCAACCTATTGTTCAGTTTCTAGACAAATGGAATAATTTATTTTTTAGAGAATTACATGAAAGAACTCAAAGCAAGAATAATTATTTAGTATTCTCTTGATTCATTAAGGTCCTCAATCGTTAAGTACTTGAATCAAACAAATACCGTAACCATAAAGTGTATAACACATATATTAAACAAATATGTATAATAATATATTTTACAGTTTATCATGACGAAAAATTTGCTTTTTTTTGTAAATTATAGGTCACTTAAACTTGTACGAAGCCCATTATGATCTTTTTTATATTCTGTGGAATTTATGGTGCTCTGTACTTCTATTACACTATAAGATGCCAGTGCTATCCATAATCTATGTTGCCAAAATTACCAACTTCTAAATTTTGAGACCTATCCAGCATTTTTACCTTCACACAGTTTTATTATATTTGTTTAAAACATTAAAAAAATAAAACCTTAATGTGAACGCTTGAATTATTGACAACAAAATGAATCCGACACAAAGTTATTATTTTTTTTAAGTTTTGTATAATATACATATTTATATTTAGATTCTCGTATTTTTTTAATAAATAGATTTTACATTATAAAAATAATAAAATTTACAGCAATATAATCCAATATTCATACTTTAGCATAAAACTTTTTTTTATTTATCCCTAACCTGAACTAAGTTGGCAACACTAAAAAGTTCCTCAAATTGTTCATTTCATTTGTCGGTGTCTTTTTGTTTAAATTTAATTGAATTAAAATACCGTATTAAATTCTTATTTTAATTAAGTTACATAAGCTTAAATAAAAGCAAGTAATTAAGTTCATAGTTTCCTCAGTGAAGCGAGTAATCGCCGAGAGGTTGAAATTTTATCAACAGTCCCGGCAAAAGGAATAATGGTAAACACGTGGTTTTATTTAATTATTTTTACAACTTGTACATTTTATATCGAAAGATATTGAGCTTTTAATAAATACTTTTTGTATATATATAGTTATAATTGGTAATGCGACGTTTCTTTACGTATTTTATGAATTTGAGGTTATATACTTGGGCTCTTGTTTCGAAATTTAAAAAAATCAAAATTTTTTTTTCAGACTGAAACCGAAGCTGCAGTGAATCCCAAAGCCTATCCATTGGCTGACGCTGCTCTTACTGCTAAAATATTGAATTTGGTGCAACAGGCTGCTAACTATAAGCAGTTACGAAAAGGCGCGAATGAGGCTACTAAAACCTTGAACCGTGGTCTTTCAGAGTTTGTCATAATGGCGGCTGATGCTGAACCTCTAGAGATTGTATTGCACATTCCAATCCTCTGTGAAGACAAAAATGTTCCATATGTATTTGTGAGATCAAAACAAGCCCTGGGACGCGCTTGCGGCGTCTCGCGGCCGATCATTGCCTGTTCTATAACTATTAATGAAGGAAGCCAACTCAAACCACAGATTCAAAGTATTCAGCAAGAAATCGAAAGACTCTTAGTTTAAGTGATGTTGACTCTGAGTTAAGTGTGAAGAATGAATGTTATTTTTATGAATACATTGTGTATTATATAAAACACATATTGTTTTTTATTTTGTGTAAATTATTTTAGTGATATAAGTGTGTTAAAGCAGTAGAAAACACCAGGTTTTATCTTTTATTAGTAATATTATTGTGTATTACACATGATCTAGATAAATACAATGTACCAGAGAGACACTTTGTACAAAAATTTTTTGCTTGGTACCACTGTCCCATTTGTGTTTCTACTGTGAAGCAGTTGTGTTGGCATGCCTGTTTCGGTATGAAGGATGCGATATGGCAGTGAATTTACATTGTACAGAAGAATAACACGAGTTTGCAGGAATGGCAACACATGGTAGGGTGTCATGGGCAAAACAGTATACTCTGTTATGTCCATGGTACTGCTTATGTCTATAGGCCATGGTTACCACTTTCCATTAGGTGGGCCGTCACCTTGTTTGCCATTCTAAGTTGCATAAAAAATATAACAATTTTTTTTCAATATTTATTTACTAAATTTAAAGAAATTAGTATTTAAAACATTATAATTTCAGTAATCTATATATATTATATTACAATAATAAATACAATTAATTGGTCCCATTCACGTTTGATTACATCAATGTCATGATTCAAAAAACTTCTTTGCTCTTACATTCCAATTATGCTCCCATCGTGATTCCTGGAATTTAACCAGCTCCGTCTTCATCTTCTCTGCTATTATATTCTGTTTTTTATTATTTGGAAAGTCTTCAAACCATGACACTATGAGTTTAGATAACTCATCACTATTCTTGAATGTATATCCATTTATTCCATTTTCTATTAATTCATTTAAGCTGAAATAATTTGATTTTATTTTATAAGTATTTCGATATAATTTAAAAAGCAATAATTTTAATGGATTATACATTTATGAAAAAATATTCAAGTATTATATTATTCTTGTATACTTAAATGTAAAATCAGCAAAGATGTTTAACACTTTAATGTATGAATAGATTTAAATGAAATTTGCTACAAAGATAGTTCATGTTGGTGAGTCACAGTAAACAGCTAACTATAAACAGCATTACAAAATGGATAGATATTAATAATTAATGGATTTTCATTAAAATTTTACATACATACAACATATTATTACCATTTAAAATCAAAAGCACAAACTGGTAAGCCAGCCCCAAACATATCAACCACTTTCATGGGGAGATCCAGGCCCGAGGAACTAGTGTGTAGACATACACCCAGGTCTGCACTGGCAACCATGGTGGGATAGTCCACAGCTTCCAGCCATGGAGTCACCACAGTCACATGTTGCCATCTCTTCGATTCCAGTTCCTCGATATAGTGCTGTTTCATGGGTCCTTTGCCAGTTATGACACAAATTAATTTTGGAAGCCTTTTTGTAAAATTGTAAGTTGTTTCATAAACTAAAAAAAAATTATAAACATAAGAAATAATTATAAATATGACACATTCACATTAATAGCACAATTCTTGAGATAAAATGGCTTTAAAAATAGTTTTATTATAATTATTGACTTTTTAAAATTGGAAATTTGTTTATTATACAAAGAATATTTACTATATAGAACAAGGGTAAACATGAACAAAATAAATCATATGTAATCATTAATACAATACTGAAATACCTTGCAAGGCTTCCATCAAGATACCAAAGTCTTCATCAGGCGTCCAACTTGTGCTGCTAAACAAAATGCCAGGCCTGTCTGCTCTCAGTACCACACTATTTCCAACCAGTTGAGTAAAAACAGTAGTTGCATCACACTCAGAGTCACTTGGTTTATCTTTAACGAACTGAGGGTAATGTTGTCCTATTTTCTTGAAGAAGTCATGTTTCTCTTCAATTGTTATAGGATGGAATATTTTTGGTGGTCGATCATACAGAACTGTAGCTCTGAAACATTTTTTTGCAATAAACAGTGCTTCATCCATGTGATTATTTTATAAGTCACTTTAATAAATACTTACACTATATTCCAATTTTCTAATAAATCTGCCTTCATTGCATATGTAACACAAAGATTGTGGTTTGATGACTGGCCAAAACATCTTTCTATAGATTTAGATATCCTTAACAACGGATGCTTAGATGGCAAGGACAATGCCATTATAGAATACGCATAGTTGTGCCAATCTATTATAAACTTGGTTTTGGTCACTAAGCAATAAAATCGGCATACTGGTAGAGTAGGAACTGCTGGTGGGTTTTGACACAGCAAATAATCATTTTTTCCAGTGATAAATAAAGCGAGAAATAAACTTATAGACTGCCATAAAGCCTTTAAAGCGTATTGTAGTAATTTAGGTCCTTTCTCAATAACTAATGGTTTTAGTTTAGTAATGATGATGTTAGGATTTTCTAATATCTCAGCGAGAGGTTGAGAATCCACGTAGGCTATTATATTGACTTGAAGACCGTTGTTAGCTAGAGATAATGCATGGTATTGCATACGGGGACTTCTTCCTATATCTCCCAGTACTACCACTTTGGCTGATTTTTGCAAGTTTTCTGCCATTCTAAGATAACTCTTAACTGGTATTATTTTCTTGAAATAACATGGTTTCTTTAGATAGATTTTTCATAACATAAATAGATTTAGCTAGACAAAATAAATTGATTAATTTGAATTATAAATTATTAAAAAAATAAATAATATTTCAAAGCCCCTTGGCGATTTGATTAGAGAAAGGTATGACTAGTCTGTGGTTATGACGTACTGACATTGACATTATTTGACAATATAAACTAAAAGTTTGTCATATTGTAAATACTGCAGTTAGGTGTAATACTGCCAGATAAAGCGATTTTCGCTTTTAAAGCTATTATAAATGGTAACAAAAATTGCGATTGGCGACAAATCGCCATTTAGGATATAAATTTTTTTGAAATATCCTACATGACATTTTTAAATTATAAAGAACATGTATAGTTAAATAATAACAGTAGTAACAATTTTTACTTAACTTTAACAGAACCTTAACAGAAAATTAGCAAGTTGTGAAATATATTTATCTAGTTTTATTAGTGAATATGAAATAGTGACCTCGCCTGTCAATATACGTTGGCGAGATACCATGATGATACTAAGAACGATTTATTTGCAGCATTGTCAAATTTTGTCAAACTAAAGTTACGAGTGCTCTTTAAAAAAATGCTTATTGATTTAATTATGTACTCTAACTTCGTGCCATGCATTGTATTAGTGTGTGTGTGTATATAGATATCTGAATTTTGGCGTGATTAAAAAGTTAATTTCTCATGCTCAGTTTGATTTATATACCAAACTATAATAAAAGAAACATTTATTTAAGTAAAAATTACTCAGTTTACTTTACTAAATCTTTAGATTTCAAAAATGTGTAGCGAACATTTTATATTTCTAACAGTATTTAGAAAATTTGTTATTTTTTTAATGGTCATTGAGAATTTTAGGCTATATTACAAAAAAAAAATTGGGTAGATTTTAGGCTACTTGGGATCCTCTTGAGGGGGGAGGGATTGTTAATAATGGAGACTAAGAGCCCCATTGCTAGCAATATACCCAAACAGGTCAACCTCCACGAGTTCCCGCCTGGAAACCATCGTGCTGAATTGCAAGTATATTCAACACGATGAGCTAACTGACCTGTCTTTTCATTCTCACCTATCATCACTCACTGGTGCCCCACCAGCGTATACCGATAGCGCAGACGGGGTTACTATTCCATGATCACCCATAAAAAAAAAAAACTTGGGATGCTCATTATGACAAATTGATATAATTTATCTGGTAACATTGAGTAATTGACACTGTCAGTCAGTACAGAGTATAGTGATTACTTGTTCTGTGTTTAGTAAGCAAACTGAATTGAGAATTGTTTCTTTTCATTATTTAGTTTTATGTGAAAGTTTATAAAAAGGGGAATTTTATCTTTTTAAAATCATAAACATGTCCAATGTATTACTTATTAGGCATTTACCTACTGGCCTATCTTTCCAAGACAAGGAACAACTTTTGAGACATTTTGGCGCTGAAAAAGTATGGGAAACTACTGCGAAGCGCAATTATATATTTGCATCTTTTTCTTCTGTGGAAAAAGCTAAAGCATCGCTAACAAGACTTCACCAGCTGAAAATAGCACAAAGAAGATTAGTCGTCGAGTATTCCTTCGAGAAAGAGTTGGTTACTAGTGATAAACAAGAAGTTGAAACTTCGGCATCAACTAAACATGTAAAAAATTTCCTGAAAGTTTTGAACGCTTGGAATCCGTCTGTAGATTTTTATCAGCCGCCTCCAGTGCACTTATCGTATAAATACCCGGATGCGAGTCCCACTGCTCTAGTTAACATTTTGTATGCACTATTTAAACATAAACCTTTTTACATTCAAACTTTACATTTGATGAATAAAATGTGCCTTGATGCACCATTCAAGGATAATGAAGTAGCTGTACATTTTTTTAAAGAAACATTTAAACAGTTTTTTGCTAGTGAAACAAGTGTGGTACCACCTCTGCCTGAGAGTGAGCCAGAATCAGAAATATCAAGTGATGAAATGGAGAAACAACAGCAGTCTGTACCTCTATCAGTAAAGAGACGGCAGACTCTTCCAAAAACAAGAAAACGTGCTGCTGCTATTTTATCTACAGCAACATTACCTAAGGTGAAAAAAGTTCCTGTCAACCAAGAGGAGGTATTTGAAAATGTCACTCCAATACAAGAGGCAAAGAAAATATCACTGGTCGTCCACCAAAATGCTCTACAGAAGCCTACCGAGGAGCCAGAAGTTATTGGAGAGCTTGGCAAGTTCCAGAAAGAAGAGCAACCTGCACAACCTATAGAAGTTGAAACAGAGCCCGAACAACCCACCATCACAAGAAAAGAGTTGTTAAAAAACAGAATATCATACAGAGATATGAAAGTACTGCCTGTATTCAAAAACTATCACCCTGGTCAGCCTTCTATGAGGTTGTATATTAAAAACTTAGCTAAAACTGTAACAGAAGTGGATGTTACAAGAATATATAAGCGTTATGTGGAAACACTGCCAGATGATGACCAGTTATGTTTTGACGTGAGGGTTATGCAGGAAGGAAAAATGAAGGGGCAAGCATTTGTGACATTTCCATCTGTAAGCATAGCAGAGAAGGCATTAAATGAAACTAATGGTTATATGTTGAAAGATAAACCGATGGTAGTACAGTTTGCTAGAGCTGCTAATAAAAAAAGTATTGAATAAATTACTTTTTTTTTACCACCTCATATAAATGCAGCAGCTGTGGTAAAAAAAAAGTGGGAGGGAGGTGCTATAAAAGTATATAGCACCTCCCTCCCACTTTTTTTTTATCACAGCTGTTGCATTTACATGCCTGTATTGTAATAGAATAGAATATAATAGTAAAATTACAATAGAACTTTGAAGTTGGAACATTTAAACCTTAGAAATGGCAATACACTATGTGGTGTTGTTTGATTTAATAGGTGATAATGGAATGGTCATCTTGTCTAGACTATCAGTATAGACAGAGGGGCACTAGTGAGAGATGATAGATGAGGATGAAAGCAGGTCTGTTATTGGTGGTTTAACCATGATAGTTTCCAGAGAGAACTATGTGGAGGTCGACCTAATAAAGTATATTGCTAATAATTCCCTTTCCCCCTAATACTTTAGGGGGTTTTTATGGGTGAATATGGAAAGGTAGCCCTGTCAGTGCTATGGGTATATACTACGGGGCACTAATAAGTGATCACAGGTGAAAATATTGTAGTAAATTCAGAAATTAACCACTATGACTTCCAGAGGCTACTGCGTGAAGGTTGTTGATTGTGACTACATTAGGGGTATCAATTCCTCATGTCAGAAGAGGAAAGGAATTGTTAGTAATGGAGTCTTATTGTTAGCAACTTACCTTATCAGATTGACGTTTACCAGCGAGAAACTGGAAAACATTGTAGTTATTTTTTGTGGAAATTATCACTGAGTCTGTTTTGGGTCTGTTCATTGTCTGGTTTCATATTATAAATGGTATTCTAGTTTGATAATTAGGCAATTTATGTGATTGTATGGCATTTATATTGCTATTGAAGTTTTTTTTTTTTCAAAATATATAATCTTAAATTAATATATTATGTTATGTCCATGGTACTGCTCATGTCTATAGGCGACGGTTGCCACTTTCCATCAGGTGGGCCGTCAGCTCGTTTGCAATTCTAAGTTGTATAAAAAAATATGAATTAAGATTGTAAAAGCAAAAAACTTGATATAATAAAAACAGATAGTTTATTAATTATATTTCCATCATTTCTATACTATATGATAACTTTTCATCATTATAATCATCAGTGGTTTTACCATTAAGAAGTTTATTTAATACGGGCAGAAATTTATCAATTTTGAACAATTGATTTGTCAGATATAATACAGAATTCAATACATTTTCTAACACTTGCGTGACTTTTTCATCTTTTGTCATTACAAATTGTTGATAGAATGCGTCCATTAATAAAATGCACCAATCACAGAGTTTGTCCTCCATCTCCACACCAACGGGGATCAGGGGATCTGTCAGTAAATGTGATATGTAACTCATAAGAAACAATGTATCGCTCAACGTCAACAGCTCTCTCAAATGTGGTATTAATAGTGCATCACTGAATGATATTTGCAATACATAATTTAGAAGTTGACTTTGCCTTAGTGTTTCATTATGGAACAAGTCGTTAAACAAACTGACAGCTGCTTCTTTGTCAGTAATATCAACTTCGTTTAGCCGCAACAAATTTATAGCATGCCTCAATAAAACGGACAGAACTGATTCAGGGATATCTCTGAAATTGTTTAGCAACTTCTTTATTTTGTCAGCTGAATTCTTCTGTAATAGTGGTGTTATTAATTGTGCACAAATGCTCCTCTCTGTTAAGCCATATTTTATCAGTTCCTTTATTTCATTATTTACATTGTAGTTGGGGTCTTTAGTTTTGGCCCAGTGTGCGACTTTTGTATATTCGTCTTTTCCAATCTCATGGGAGCCTAGAAGGCTGGACAGATTTCTATTGGATTCTAACACATATGGTAACATACCAATGTGATTAGTGGCTTCTAATAATATCCTCTTTTTTATACAATACAATTTTGCATTGTCGGAGTACATTTTCATAGGATATCGGTATGATCCAATACCAAGAAGTACATTATATACTAAGATTACTGCTCCATCATTGTCTAAATTGTTTCCGAACAAAATAAGGTGGTCCTTTTCCATGTACGCAAGTGATACAGGAGACATTGTGGAAATCCAGGGTACTGTTCCCACGACCTCCCACTGTTTTGTTTCAACATCACACACTGTCATTTTTGAATCATTCCCTGGAATAAGAAATTTAATTTATCAAGGAAGCATTAATTTTACAAACATGTCATATATGGTATATACTTTTTATATTAGAATTAGCAAATTGTTAGAATTTTGATGCCTTAAAATATGTGGCTGGTTCATTTATTTATTTATTCTTTATTGTACACAAAAAGTTACAAACATATAATATATATTAAATAAAGATGTACAACAGGCGAGCTTAACTCTGTAAGAGTTCTCTTCCAGCAAACCCTGAGTGGAGAGGAGCATTAATTACCAGCGGGCAGTGTGCGTACAATAATAGGAGGAAACAGTATAGTTGTTTCTATTAAGAAATAATTGTTTGACATAAAAAAATTAGTATTGTTTTTGACAAACAAGCACACAGACTATCTGATAGTAAACAGTCACTGTAACTTATAGACGTCTGTAATACAAGGTGTGTTACATGTGCATCGTTGACCCTGAAGAAACCATTTGAAAAATATGGCCATTTTGGAAAGGCATCTCCAATCAAAACCGAGTGTCTTAGCTGAGAAGTATAAATTCCGTCAGAGAAAACAAAAATCAGACGAAACTGTAGCTCAGTACGTAGCAGTGTTAAAAAAAAAATGGCCAATACATGTGAATTTGGAATGGGATTGGAAGAAAGTCTACGTGACCAGCTCATCTGTGGCATTACCAATGAGACGATACGGCAGCGGATTTTCGCTGAGGATACATAGGACTTTGGTAAGGCGTACAAAGTGGCCGCAAGTGTGGAAGCAGCGGAAAAGGATGCGGCGGTAGTGGAGGGGCAGACGTCATTTTGAAAAGGCAACACGGATGCCGTATGGCAAAGAATACACCCTCTATTAAGAACCCTATGTAGTCTTTAGGGGGATCTTCAGTTTGAGCTCATTCCACAGCCCGAGCGTTTGCAGGAGAAAACTCCTCTGAAATTGCACTGCATGTAACCATTTAGGTTTTAGTGTATGAGGAAAAATTCCATGTTGATGGTAAGTGTTACTTAAATTCTACCGTTTTAGAAAGAATTAGTTTATTAATTAGTTGCAACAATATTCTTTATATTGGTATTGCAGTTATAGTTGTCATTAATCATTAATCAACAATTAATCATTATTTTTTCTAGTATTTAAAGACTATTCTTTTTAATTTGTTAATTCGTAAATAATATCATTTGTATTTAAGTATATTTTAAGAAAAAGACATAATTTTTATATTAAACAGGTTATATTATTCCTATAGACGATGGTTATTTTTGCATCAGATGGGCAAATATCTTGTTTCCTATTCAATATTGCATAAAAATCACAATTCAATGCGATTTGGACTGTGATAGAAACATATAAGGATATATAGTTATTTAGGCAACGTGCTGAAGAAGGGCCAAATTAAATGTACCCGTAACCGGCGAGCGTGTATGAAAAGATCGATGAATGTGGAAGAAGCGAAAGAGGTTTGTTTGAATCAAAGCATTTGGCGTTCCATTGTTTCTGCCTACCCTAATGGGAGACAGGCGTGACAGATATGTATGTATAGTTACTTACACAAAATGTATACAAAATATTTATTGTTGGTTGTCACTATCAGTTCACCAACAACATACACATTTTCCGATCTGGTCACCTTTATCCTGGCCAATTTAAACTTGTCCATGTCACCAAGCTCATCTCTAATCTGACAGTGAATAATTTCATATCTATCTTGTTCATCTTTTTTGTATTTTGTTACGTAACATAAAAAATCAGTTTTTCCAATGGTCAGACAAAAAGTATCTATAATTTCTTCACCCTCTTTTAATATAGATTTGCTTTCATATGTTTTTCTGTTTTCAATCGCGTACGGTAAAGATGCACAGTTGCCATTGCTGAATATTATAAGTGGAGGCTGCTTTTGTCTTCTAATGAGTTTCAAAATATTTAGCGGAAACTGGAAATAGGTTAATAAGACACAAATTACCTAAATAGAATAAGTAGAACTAAACAGAGATTGTTCGAGTACTAAAAAACTGATAAAAATATTGTACACAATAAAAAGCATTGAGTATTGTAATATTCATAAATACAGGAGAGCATGTATCAGTATTCTACAGGGATTGAACTTGAAACTATCAAAGGTGTAGAGATGTGGGAAACTGCTATTTTAATAAACACATATTTTGAGTTGTGTATCTACTTATAACTTCATGTCAATAAAAATGTAATTTTTTATTTATAAAATATATTAATAGAAGAATTATAATCACACTTTATGTAGGTATTTAAATATATTTTTCATTAATTCCTAATGGATTTGATATTAAATATTTTGATTTGGCTGTAAGTATATCAAAAACTGGTCAGTTTAAAATATGTTTCACCTATTTATTTTAAAAGAAATTTTTACCTTGTACTTTTTAACTTTATCTAGATTTTCAGAATCTTCCATCCACTTTTTAATAGTATTATTATTGAATACTCCAACATAAGAGTCCTGTTCTTCATCATAGACAACAGTACCTGTTATATGATCTTTTGAAGTCCAGCCACCGACCTGTTTTTGATCTGAGAGCTGAAAAATTTACGTCAACTCAATTATATCCTAATCCAACCATAATATTTAAAAATTGAATTGCAATAAGTCTAGTTGCTTCATATAAATAAATTAAATTCTATTGAATATATCCTTACAGCCTAAATAGTTGCATACAATGCGGTTTCAGAGATGTTTTCTCCCACTAACACTCGGGTTATGGAATGAGCTCCCTGCCGAGGTTTTCCCGAGAGACTACAGCATGGGATTCTTCAAAAGGGGAGTAAAGAGGTTTTTTCAGGGTCGGCAACGCGCGCGTAATACCTCTGGTATTGCAGGTGTTCATAGGCTACGGTAACAATTTACCATCAGGTGGGCCGTATGCTTGTTTGGCACCTCAGTGGTATAAAAAAAATATGAATGTGAAAAAGTATGTAAAGACATTGCATATTTATTAATCAAAGATGCTTAGACTGAAGAAATTTGAATGGAATTTGGTGTACCGATAAGTTATTAATTTATGCTATAGTTATACATTAATATATTTCATATACCGGCAAAGTTGCGGTAAAATAATTAGTAAGCATTCATGTATAGAAAAAATATAACCTATAAGTTTTCTTCCTTTTGGTGTGTTAATATATCCTTTTAAATAATCCTTTTGCTATGTTAAAAGTTTAATGTTGACACTGGTATGATTTGTTTTAACATGCAAAAATCTAACATAATAGTTAAATTCTTACCCGGTATTTATTTACAACATTTTTTCCTAATGTGACGAGAACGTTTCCCGAGTCTTTGTCTCTTGACACACCAAGAAAACTTTTTTGATCTATCAGTGGGCATAATACATAATAATTATGGAATTTAGCCATTACTTAAGTAATCAATGTGAATAAAATTATTCAATGTTTTCTTAAATTAGTGTGAGATTATATATTTAGAGGTTATAAACATTTAATACAGAGAAGACAAGAGTAGAGAGACGATGCCTAAAGATTTTTTTTTATTGCACAGAGTAAATTCTAAATCACTACCAACACTTTATCCTTAGTCTATGTTACAACTGAAGAGACATACTCCATGATAATTATATTATTAAATTGTAATTATCTTTTAATTGATTTTTAAATAGGTGAATATTAATAAATCGGTATTAAACTGGTCCTTTGATCATTTAATACTCCATATTTAGACATAGGCATTTATCTGTGTTTTTATATTTCCTGTGCTTTGATTTTGGTTATTATGTCATTAATTTACTGATACGCACTATCTTGATATATAATAATTTAGACGTCGTCTTAAGGAATTTTAATTCGTCGCTAGCAGCCGCCGTTGATATTATTGCCTAAAATGTCTACAGCCGGTAAAGTAATTAAGTGTAAAGCAGCTGTCGCCTGGGAGGCCGGGAAACCATTGTCCATCGAAGAGGTTGAAGTAGACCCGCCCAGAGCAGGCGAGGTTCGTGTTAAAATAACCGCTACCGGCGTTTGTCATACTGATTCCTATACTCTATCCGGAAAGGATCCAGAAGGTGTTTTCCCAGTTATTTTGGGCCACGAAGGCGCCGGTATCGTTGAAAGTATTGGAGAAGGCGTCACGTCAGTCAAACCAGGCGATCACGTTATCCCCCTGTACGTTCCGCAGTGCAAAACTTGCAAATTCTGCCTTAATCCTAAAACGAATCTATGTCAGAAAGTACGAGCGACACAAGGACAAGGCTTGATGCCCGATGGTACGAAAAGGTTTCGCTGCAGAGGGCAGGAACTATATCATTTCATGGGATGTTCAACATTCAGTGAATACACTGTAGTTTTAGAAATATCCATTTGCAAAGTGGTAGAAACGGCGCCATTGGATAAGGTGTGCCTGCTAGGTTGCGGTATCCCAACTGGGTATGGAGCAGCCTTGAACACCGCCCAAGTAGAACCAGGTTCGAACTGTGCCATCTTTGGGCTTGGGGCAGTTGGTCTTGCCGTGGCTCTGGGCTGCAGGGCAGCAGGTGCTAAACGCATTATTGGTGTGGACATCAACCCTGATAAGTATGAAATTGCAAAGAAGTTTGGTGTCAATGAGTTTGTGAATCCTAAGGATCATGAAAGGCCAATCCAGCAAGTTTTAGTTGATCTAACTGATGGTGGATTAGATTATACATTTGAATGTATTGGCAATGTGAACACCATGAGAGCTGCATTGGAGGCATGCCATAAGGGCTGGGGTGTATCTGTTATTATTGGAGTGGCAGCCGCTGGAGAGGAGATCAGCACTCGCCCATTCCAGCTTGTGACAGGGCGTACATGGAAAGGAACAGCCTTCGGTGGCTACAAGAGTCGCGACAGTGTGCCCAAACTGGTCAATGAGTACATCAACAAAAAACTACCAATAAATGACTTTGTCACGCACAATGTGCCCCTGAAAGAAATCAACGAGGCATTCCATTTGATGCATTCTGGAAAAGCTATCAGAGCTGTGGTGCATTTCTAAATATAAGAATACATGTTTTTGCTACATATTGTTATAACATTCGAAGTCTGGAGTTATATTTTAATAGGAAATAAATTATTTTCATATATTTTTGTTTTATTTATTATAAAATACCTTTTTTTTTTCAATACAGATATAACTTCAATGAGTAATAATTAATGGCTGAAATTATTAATATGGCGCATTGAAATAGATCTAGGGGTCTATTCTCATGTTACAATCCTATTTACACACATATATATTGTCAAAATTGTATTGTTATTACAGCTATGTATTAATTCAGGTCGTGACCCAGTCATCCCAGTTCATATTCTTATCAACTCTGTATTGTTACATAATTGCGTTTGTTTATAACACGTTACAAGTAGCTATTTTTCTAAGTTATTTTATTTACAGCTCAATTTGTTTTAACATAAACTGTTTTATTATTTACATATATAGGTATATAGAGCTGTTTTTATTGTATTATATATTAAAAATTTTTTACTGGGTGTTTAGTTTATCTTCAATTGTACGGTTATTACCCTTATACATTCTACAGTTTTCTTTCAGCTTTTTTTTTTTTTTTTTTTTTTTTTTTTTACAACACAGGGGGCAAACGAGCATGCGGCTCACCTGATGGTAAGTGACTACCGCCGCCCATAATCACCCACAACACCTACGGCATTGCAGGTGTGCTGCCGGCCTTTTAAAAAGGAATATGCTCTTTTCTTGAAGGTTATGTTGTCGTATCGGTTCGGAAATACTGCTGCTGGAAGTTGATTCCAAAGAGTGGTTGTGCGTGGGAGAAAGTGCCTTGAAAAACGCACGGTGGAGGACCGCCACTCGTCCAGATGGTTGGGATGAAATTTTAGTTTATGGCGGGTTGTACGATGGTGAAAATCAGCAGCAGGTATCAATCCGAACAATTCTTCAGAGCACTCCCCATGATAAGCTTCCCAAAGGTTGACTGTAAGAGATCCCTTTATGGGATAAGTCCGCCATTGTATATTAAATTATTTACCAGTGTTTAATCTGAGTTATGTACAAGAAAGATTTTACAACAACAACTGTATAATTTTATTCATAACATTTGACTTTGCAACACAAACACAAAATTCACATAAGAGTGACTCGACCGATTGTTAGAGTATATTTAAATCGAACAAAATGTAGACGATTTGCAAACCTCTCCTCTTTAAAAGGTAGCTAAAAATATTTCCAGTAAAGAAATATCACACAAATAGACAGTAATCTTGAATCTTTACTTACAAAATGGAAAATTCATTATGTTTCTTTTCTAAAATCGGTTAAATAGTATCAAATGTACAAAAATTGGGGATTGTTCAGAGCATAATGCATGCTGTTACTACCAAAATTGGGGGGGAAAGAGACTGTTAGCAATGGAGTTTGACAGCCTCATTGCTAGCAAAATACCCTATTAGGTCGACCTCCACGTGGTTCCCCCTGAACAATTCGTGTTGAATTCGTCACGATGGGCTAACTGACCTAGTTCATCCTCACCTATCATCCTTTGGTGCCTCGCCTGTGTATACCGATAGCGCGGGTGGGGTTACGTTACCATTCCATTATCACCTATTAAAAAAAAAACTACCAAAATTGCTTTGTGCTTAAGTGAATTAGTAAGTAGTATTGTTTAGTCATAATTATAATAGTAAATAACTTGTTTAGATTTTATGGGATTGACAAGTTAAAAAACAAAAATTCCAAATTAAACGTAGATTAAAAAAAAATGTACAAAATTCCATACTAACACGGTGATATTCTTGGCGTCGCGTGCCAGGTTTCTCAATGGGTGATAATGGAATGATAATTCTACCTGCATACCCTGACGGGACACTAGTAAAGGATGATAGACGAGGATGAAAGCAGGTCAATTAGTTTGTCGAGACGAACTCATCAATGATTAACCATTACTGTTTCCAGGGGGAACCATGTGGACGTCGACCTTATAGGGTACTTTACTAGCAATTATATTGGTAGGTTGTATTGCTAACAATCCCTTCTGTCCCTCACGTTTTTTTTAATGGGTGATAATGGAATGATAACCCCCACCCGCGCTATCGGTATACACCGGCGGGGCACCAGTGAAGGATGTTAAGTGAGAATGAAGCAGGTCAGTTAGCCCATCGTGACGAATTCAACAAGAATTATTCACGATGGTTTCCAGGGGGAACCATGTGGAGGTCGACCTAATAGGGTATATTGCTAGCAATGGGGCTGTCAAACTCCATTGCTAACAATCCCTTTCCCTCTTGTCCCTCACGTGTTAGGTCAATATACGAAATAAGACACAATTTAAAAAAAAATATATTTAATTTATTACATTTATAACAAAATATACATTTTCTTTTGCTTATATATAATATAATTATTATATTCCTTTAACAAACAAGATAACTACATTAAAAAAAAAAAAAAAAAAACTATACATGAGAACTTCTGTTACACTTACATGTGCTTACCATAGTTTATTAAGATTTATTTAGCATAAGGATTTGATTATTGATAACAAGTTTGCACATGTCTATTGCGTTTAACAAATGTAACAATATAAATGATCACACCAGAGCCTTTATGAGGTAGGCAGAGAGAAAAGAGTGTAATTACCTCACCTGTACAACTTGTCAACATGAGACACGATGGTTCTTTTAACTCGACTACTTGGCTAGGCTTATGGTTTAAAGCAAGTCCCAATAAATTTTGAGAGATTTATATATAAATTTGAAAATGAGATGTTCTTTTTAGTGTTTACATCTGATTTGTAGGTCTGAAATCCTCATCATCATCATGGAAAAACTCCGCAAAATATATTGACACTTCGAGTACAAATATATTGCGTACCTATTTCGCTTCATAATTTACTTACTTCGTATATTTCGTAATATTCAGGCACCGATGTGATGGCTACTGTTCAGACATCAATCGTTTGTAATATTCCACGTAACTATCGCATTGTTCGCCTGCAACAAGAAATAATTATATGTTTTTTTTTATACAACTTAGAATGGCAAGCAAGCTGACGGCCCACCTGATGGAAAGCGGTAACCGTCGCCTATTGACATGAGCAGTAGCATGGACATAACAGAGTATACTGTTTCGCCCATGATACCCCCCATGCGTTGCCATTCCTGAGGACTCAGGTGTTATTCCTCTGTACCCAGTAAATTCACGCCATATCCCACCCTTCAAACCGAAACACAGCCATGCAAATACAACTGCTTCACGGTAGAAACACGAATGAGACAGAGGTACCCAAGCAATCGACTTTTGTACAAAACAAGTTCACAGGTGTAACGGAAATAAGAGCACGGAATAAATTGAAGGTAGTTTTTTTTATAACACGAAGGTAGAAAATAAATAAACAGTCCGTCTGCTGGTAAAATTTTGTACTTAATTATAATGAACATCTAAATAAAAACCCCTGTTAAATCCTACTACTTCTCCCTTTAGTACTATTTTCCTGCGTTTTCTCTACATTTTCCTTCGACATTGTTATTAAGTATTTGTATGTTTATGTATATATTTCATTATATATATATATATATATATATATATATATATATATATATATATATATATATATATATATATAGTGCGCCACCTACCCTTAGTCTTTTTGTCAATGTCCTCTATCCAAAGGTTGTCCGCCTTTTGTATCAATTTTCATTAATATTTACTGTATTTTTTTTTTCTTGGTGCAATAAAGTGTAAAATAAATAAATGAATTATTTTATCCTCAGAAATAGTAACCCATAAAGGACGCTAAGGGCGTTATAGTATATTTTATATATGTTCACGTTGTTATTCAGGTCTATAGGCGACGATTATCACTTTCCATTAGGGGTGCCGATAGCTTTTTGCCAAATTGTCATAAAAAAAATGTATTTACTATTATTATGGGTTACTTCATTAGTAGTCCAATACTAACTTGAACTAGTTCATTGGACACATACCTATTTCCTGCTGACATATAAAACTCAATCCAGATATAAACATGTATATACTAAATCTTAATTTTTACTTAATTACTTAACAACATTTTATGTAGAAAGCAAACACTTTGAAGTGTCTCTTTTTATGATTGTTTAAATAAAGAATATATCTACTTAATTAAAGTACATTAGTGTGAATATATTTTAACGATGGTGTCTCTATGGTTGTATGTACCTAGGTACTGATAAGGAAACTGATAACACTCTGGCATATGGCATTTTAGATATTGACAGTGCGTACATAATAATGATAAGTTGTTTATGGTTTTGACATCATGGGTTTGATAACCCTGGGTTATTGTTATGTTAAATTTCAAGATTATGAGGTTCCATAATGATTAAAATCATGACTTTTATTCATTTATTCGCTGACATATTTTTTTTTTTTAAACTTTTGTACATGTATTTTTTTTTTTTATCTTTTTTCACTTTGCTTTTGTACCTTTTGCTGTTTGTGTGCTGTAAGTGATGCAAATAAATTATCTGTCTATCTATATTATTAAATATGAAGCTGGTAATGAAATATCATATCAGGTTTTAACTGTCCACAGCTAAACATGGGCCCCCACCTTGAGAGGTTTTGCCAGTAGTTGCCACGCTTGGCAGGCGGATTGGCAACCGCCGTTAAGCTTTAGAGATGTTTTAAGAGGGACACTTCTGCCCGTATCTCGTCCTCCTTTAGTCGGCTCTTACGACACCCACGGGAAAGGTAGGGGTGGCCTATTCTATGCCGGGACCACACGGGAATGCTCATGAACACAATGAAAGAATATAGATTATAAATTCTTTAAAAATAAAAAATCAGAGTAATCTTAAGTTATATTATAAAGAGGTTATATTATAAATAGTTTTTAATGGATAATGGATAAACTAAGTAAATATTTAAATTGTTTTAAAAATTTATTTATTTATTCATTAGTACAGATATGTGTACATGGCGGACGTAATGCTAAAAGCATTCTCTCCCAGTCAACCATAGGGAAGTATCAGAATACTCGAATGCGGTACTAGTAATTATTGATATACATACATACTAAAATTACATATATAAACAAATAGATATATATGAATAACAAATATACTTAGACATATATGATCTATACTATATTATACACGAATTTGGGAATAATATAAAGCACTTATTGCTCGGATAAAAATAAAAAGTCAGCGTGAACGCTTTTTCTTTTCTTTCACGTATAGAAAGCTACAGCATCTAGTAATCTTTGTATTTTTTTTTATTATACTGGCATGACACATTGACTCCATAAATTAAAATTCGAATCATATTTGTTCAAATAGACTTGTTTACAAGCACTTTTAAATTGTAATTTTTTTTAATCTACTGCAGGGTTCGGTAGATTGTTATCTGTTGAGAAGAGCCCGTAAGAAACTCAACAGTCATTCTTTTAAATCTCTGTTAACATTATATGTACTTATTTAAATGTACTATGTCTGTAATTACATGGTCGTTAAAGCCCGCGCATAATCGACTAACACCATGCACATTTGTCATTCGATTCATAAATTCATAGTCACGTAATGTTGAAATTATGAAATCCACCCGAGCAAAGTAGAGGGGTTATTTATTAATAAAATACTGTCCAGATTGCGCTACGGCGGTATCAAGGTCACGGACATCGTCACGATAAAAGAAATTGCACTGTCATGTTCATGACCATAGATAAAACAATAAGTTTGATAATAATGAGTCGAATTTTTTTTTAATTTGTGGTAATATACTTAAAGGATTAAAATGTTTTCTTTTTTTTTTTTTATTTGTAGTAATATATTTAGAAGAGAACTAGCGACGCGTCCCGGCTTCGCACGGGTGCAATGCTGATACTAAATATACTACAGAGTGGTTTAAAAATTAATCTTAATACTGACTGAAATACAAACATACAATTTCGAAAAAAATGTCACGCAAAAAAGCATTTATTTATTTATTCATAGGAATCAATTTTCCACTCATTTTTCTTTCGATGCTAATAATTTGTTGAATTATGTAATAGAAAACGAAAATGGTAAAATATTAGAGAAATTTGTTGAAGAGGTATGCTATAATGATATAAGTAAATTGTGGTCCATAAAAAATGTGTATTTTGTATGTAAAAATGTAGCATTATATTGCAGCAAAATCAGTTATTTTAAAAACCACTGAATTGATTTTAAAAAATGTCTATGGGACAATTTGTAAGTTTGTCTTTTCAGATAAAAAAAGATATTTCCAAATCGGTTTAAAATTGACGGGGTTATGAGGTAACAAATATAAAAAAATACAACAAAATTGTCCTCCTTATTTTTAAAGTTGGTTCCAAATATAATAAATAAAAATATAGCATTTCATGCAGAGACTTAATCTCGCCATTCGCTCCTATAAGGTCGACTTAACCCTACATTGCTAGCAATGATCTGGCTAAACACCATTACTAGCAATCCAGAGGGAGACTTTGTACAAGTCGTTTACTTGGGTACCTCTAACCCATGCGTGTTTCAACCGTGAAGCAGTTGTGTTTGCATGGCTGTGTTTCGGTTTGAAGGGTGGGATATGGCGTGAATTTACAGGGTACAGAGGAATAATACCCGAGTCCTCAGGAATGGCAACGCATGGGTTTTTTTTAATACAACTTAGAATGGTAAACAAGCTGACGTCCCACCTGATGGAAAGTGGTAACCGTCGCCTATAAACATGAGCAGTACCATGGATGTAACAGAGTATACTGTTTCACCAATGCAACGCATGGAGGGTATCATGGGTGAGACAGTATACTCTGTTATGTTAAGCTGTATAAAAAAAAATCCCTTTCCCCACAGCATTAGTCGAGTCATACCTTTCAAGAAGTGCGGCGACCCGCGGAGTTTCTCGTTTCTGTTGACCAACATGTGGTAGATGGCGATGAAGGCGGTGGGCTCCGAGTGCTGCTCGGCGTACTGCTGCGCGGCGGCCAGCAGCTTCCTCGGAGACAGCGTGTTCCACGTAGTACCGCCCGCTTGCCTTGCGACCCCCACGGCGCTTATCGTCTCGTCCCAGCTTAGCAGTACTTCGATTATCTCCTGTGTGAATGCTAAGTATTATACAAATACATCAATCACCTGGACCGGACCCCGGGGGGGGGGGGGGAAACTGATCCGTTTTTATCCTCACTTATCATACTTCCCTGGTGGGGCACCAACCATACCGATAGCGCAGGCGGAGTTAACATTTGATTATCATCCATTGACTTGAACTTCAACTAGGATACACTGTTTTTTTTTAGTTGATAATGGAATGGTAACTCCACCCGCGCTATCGGTATACACCGGCGGGGCACCAGTGAAGGATGATAGGTGAGCATGAAGTAGGTCAGTTAGCCCATCGTGACGAATTCAACAAGAATTATTCACGATGGTTTCCAGGGGGAACCACGTGGAGGTCGACCTAATAAGGCATATTGCTAGCAATGGGAAGCATAAGTCAGAATAAGTGTGGTGTAAATTTTGATAATTGCAGATAAAGTAGTACATGTCGGTGTACATGTATGGAGTACATGAATGGTGGACAGTATTTCGTCGCCCATTGTTTTCTCATTGTGATTATTTCTTGTAATTGTTTATATTTATAATAAGTTCACTATTGTAATCTTTTGGAGGAAACAATAAAGAGTATCTATCTATCTATTTCATAATGCAGAATTGAATTGAGGTGATTACTATTTCTGTGACAGTTAAAGTAAATTGTTTTTATTGCATTTTAAAATAATTATGCTTTATGCACTATAGAAAGACTTTTTTCGAATTTGAAATATTTTGAATTTCGATTTTGGTTGATAGACGTTTTTAATTAATTTTTTTAAAAATATTTTTTTTTTATCGAGCGAGGGAAACGAGTGTTCACTGCAAGCAATTTTAATTTAGTTTAATAATCTTTTGAATGGAAGCTTAGGTCGCGAAGTGTAGTGAGCGAGTAAGTGAGTGAGGAAACGAGTGAGTGCGCGAGTGAGGGAGTAAGTAAGTGAGCGAGTGAGTAAGTGAGCGAGTGAGTAAGTGAGCGAGTGAGTAAGTGAGCGAGTGAGTGAGTGAGGAAGTGAGTGAATGAGCAAGTGAGGGAGTAAGTAAATGAGCGAGTGAGTGAGTGAGGAAGCGAGTGAGTGAGCGAGTGAGGGAGTAAGTGAGCGAGTGAGCAAGTGAGTGAGTGAGCAAGTGAGGGAGTAAGTAAATGAGCGAGTGAGTGAGCGAGTGAGGGAGTAAGTAAGTAAGCGTATGAGCAAGTGAGTGAGTGAGCAAGTGAGTGAGTGAGCAAGTGAGTGAGCGAGTAAGTGAGCGAGTGAAAGAGTAAGTAAGTGAGCGAGTGACTGAGTGAGCAAGTGAGTGAGCGAGTGAGTGAATTAGTGAATGAGTGAGTAAGCGAGTGAGTCAGCGAGTGAGCGAGTGAAAGAGTAAGTGAGTGAGCGAGTGAGTGAGTGAGCAAGTAAGTCAGCGAGTGTGAGCGAGAGCAAGTAAGTCAGCGAGTGAGCAAGCGAGTGAGCGAGTGAGCAAGCGAGTGAGTGAGTGAGCGAGTAAGTGAGCGAGTGAGTGAGCGAGTGAAAGAGTAAGTGATCGAGTGAGTGAGTGAGTGAGCGAGTGAGTGAGTGAGTGAGCGAGTGAGCAAGTAAGCGAGTACCGACCTCCTTGGCGTGCAGGCGCGCGAGCATGTCGAGCGCGAGCTGCGCGGCGGCGGGCTGCAGGCGGCCCAGCGACAGCAGCTGGCACGCCAGCGGCCGCGCGTCCGCCAGCGCGCCGCGCCGCAGCAGCGCGCGCAGCCGGCCCGCCGCGCCGCGCGCCACCAGCGCGCGCACCGCCAGCTCGGCCGCCGCGTGCTGCGCGGCCAGCGCGCGCCGGCCCAGCGACCGCACGTACGCCGTCACCACCTGCGCCGCACGCGCACCACGCTCACACACGCACACACACACACACACACCGCCAGCGCGCGCACCGCCGCTCGGCCGCCGCGTGCTGCGCGGCCAGCGCGCGCCGGCCCAGCGACCGCACGTACGCCGTCACCACCTGCGCGCGCACCACGCTCACACACGCACACACACACACACACACACGCCACCAGCGCGCGCACCGCCAGCTCGGCCGCCGCGTGCTGCGGCCAGCGCGCGCCGGCCCAGCGACCGCACGTACGCCGTCACCACCTGCGCCGCACGCGCACCACGCTCACACACGCACACACACACACACACACGCCACCAGCGCGCGCACCGCCAGCTCGGCCGCCGCGTGCTGCGCGGCCAGCGCGCGCCGGCCCAGCGACCGCACGTACGCCGTCACCACCTGCGCCGCACGCGCACCACGCTCACACACGCACACACACACACACACACACGCCACCAGCGCGCGCACCGCCAGCTCGGCCGCCGCGTGCTGCGCGGCCAGCGCGCGCCGGCCCAGCGACCGCACGTACGCCGTCACCACCTGCGCCGCACGCGCACCACGCTCACACACGCACGCACGCACGCACGCACGCACGCACGCACGCACGCACGCACACACACGCTCGCCCACCGTGTGCCACATACCATACTTCACCGCTGGCATACTCATCAATCAAGGGACACAATCTTCAACAGACTTCAAGACTCACCAAGAATTACCGAGCATAAACTAATACATCACCCATCCATATATTCTCGCATCAACATTATGCGAGTTAACTCTAACCCTAGTCAATCTTGCAACCCTAAAATCTCACGACAGACGACGAATAGTGACTTATTTATTGGATAAAACTCCTATATGTAGAAACTAAATCACCAAAAACTTCAGGACCTTTCTGGCGAAAACATTTCACTGCATACACTTTTGCTTCTCGACTGTGACGTGAGCACGAGCCTATCTCACTGTCAGTAGTTGTTATATTAAAATTACTTCTTATTCTCACTCTCTCGTGTTCAACAGAAACGTTATTAGGTTCATGACGATGACGATAGTGCCAGCATGGAGCTACTCACCTGCACGATGTACTTGTCATCAATATGCGACTGCAGCACGTGGCTGCACATCTCGGCCTGCGAGATGATCACGGGGAACCTGTGTGGACTCCTCGAGGTGTCTACGGTCTGGCCGGCCGTGTTGCGTGCCATCTCTAGGTCTGCCCATTTTCTGCACACAATATACTAAAAATAGTTGAATTCACAAACCGGGGAAAAGTTACACACGCGCACGCACGCACGCGTTTAACACACACCCACACACACAGGCAGCACGCACGCACGCACGCTCGCTCGCACGTACGCACGCACGCACACGCTTGTCTCCCATTATGGTAGGAAACAGAAACAATGGAACGCCAAATACTTCGATTCAAACAGAGAAAGTTTTTGACTTATAATAAAAAATGTACAAAAAAAATATCCCTCTTAGAAAATAATAAATTTCTATATCTAATTGTCCTTACCTATACACTAAATGTATTTCATCGAACGCCTTAGTGAGTTCCACGAGGTAGGTGCCAGCTTCCGTGACCAGCTGGTTCATCATCCTGTATATGGTGTCTCTCCCCTCCGTCCGTCGCAGCAGCACCGCCACTATTTTGGGTATCTCGTCTTTTACTACCTACGTTACACAATTATAGAAATAAACACAGTTCCCATTCGTGTTTCAACCGTAAAGCAGTTGTGTGTGCGTGGCTGTGTTTCGATTTGAAGGGTGGGATATGGCGTGAATTTACTGGGTACACAGGAATAACACCCGAGTCCTCAGGAATGGAAACGCATAGGGGGTATCATGGGCGAAACAGTTTACTCTGTTATGTCCATGGTACTGCTTGTGTCTACAGGCGACGGTTACCACTTTCCATCAGGTGGGTCGTCAGCTTGTTTGCCATTCGATTATAGTCATCTTCATCATCATCATCACCATATCAGCCGTAAATTGTTCACTGTTGAACATAAAGTTTTTCCCTATTAGGGGGTTTTAGCAGTGATTGCCACGCTTGGCAGGCGAATTAGAAACTGCAATAAGGCTTTAGAGATGTTTTAAGAGGGACGCTGCTATCTATCCCTCGCTGTCCCTTAATCGCCTCTCACAACACCCACGGGAAAGGAAGCGGTGGCTCATTCTATGCCGGGACCACACTGTATTCTGTACAAAATATATGAGGCATCTGTTGTAGCACTTAAGGTTCAATGATGTTTGCGCTTGATCTGTTTTAGAAAATCAAATGACACGTCTTCTCACTTCATTGTTTTATTGTGAACTGAAGGAACAATCCCTTTTTACTGATACTTATATTATAAAACATCAGGTGACGGCGTGTAGTGTGATTGTGTGCGTTAAGTATGGATGTAAGGTATAACTGAATGGATTGGTGTGTATACTGTATGTTACGATTACATATTTATTTTTCTCAAACACGCTTAAAAATGTGAGCATTATTTTGACAATCTTCTTCGAGATAAATCAATATGGCCGTACTGGCCAGATACATGCGGGCAGCGGCCGGCAAAAGTTGTATGAAAATCCATATCTGTCGTGTTTTGCGGCTAGACAAATTACTATGTAAACTCATATCTGTCCTGTAATTTAAAAATGGAATGACCTTTTACTTCGTAACATGGCTACCAAGGAGGCAAATAAAAGGTTTTAGTTAAATTTCGAATTTTGTTTATTGAAAAAAAAAAACAAAGAAACATTATGGCGCGTGAAAAATTATTATTGTTCGTTATTCGTCATTGAACTTAAAAAGTAAAATTGTGTTTTTGATTTCCGCGCATTGTTTGAGAAAAGTATTATACAAGCCTTGGCCACAACTAGGCATTGATGGACTCACGTATGTGTGTCTCGGCTACGTTTCGGCCCACATTTGCACGTTCGTCCATCAATGCCTCAGTTGCTGGCCGCTGCAGTAATGTACTATTTTTTACACTCTGTGATTTCAATGCACTGTTTCAACTTACCGAATGTGCTAATCCCGACGGTATAAGTCTGATGCGCCACAAACAGCCGAGCCGCGCGTCGATTATGTAGTCCGGTTGGAACACAACCCAATTGCCTGAGTCTGTCCGTTTGTAGAATCAAGTTCAGGGTTTTACGTACATAAAATTATTTTTAACAAATATAATAGTAACAAGAGAAGGGAAGGGATTGTTAGTAATGCGAACTAATAGTCTCATTGCTACCAATATGCCCTGTCAGGTCGACCACCACGTGATACCCTCTTGAGATTAATGTGTTGACCTGTCTTTTCATTCTCATCTACATTTCCTCTCTGGTGCTCTGCCAGCGTATACCGATAGCGCAGGCGGGGTTACCATTCCATTATCTACTATTAGAAAAAAAAAAAACAATACAATCCATGCCTAGTAAAGCATTTCGGGGAGACAGGAATTGTTAGTAATGGGGTCTAACAGCTCCATTGCTAGCAATGTACCCTATCAGGTCGATCTCCCTGTTCTCCCTGGAAACCATCATGATTAATTCTCGTGAAATCCTTCACTATGGGCTAACTGGCCTGCCTTTTCATTCTCACCTATCACCCCTCACTGGTGCTCCACCAACGTATACCGATAGCACATCCGGGGTTACCATTTCATTATCTACCATTCGAAAAAAAAAACAAATCAAACCATGCCTAGTAAATGTGTTATTTTCATACAAATATTACTTTATTAATATTATTAGTGATTATTTCTTGTAATTGTTTGTATCTGTAATAAGTTTACTATTGTAATCTATTGGAGGAAACAATAAGGAGTATCTATCTATCTATTTATCTACAAAAGGATACACATAGGGCACAGTTGGTCGCCATCTTTCGCTGGTTTCATACTGTTGCCAGCCACAATTGGTATGTGTATTGCTGTATTATTTTCCACTTTCGATTCTTCCATTATGTCGAACAGTTGAGACGTTTTACTCGACTGAAATGAAATAAATTGGTTAATTAGCTTAATTAATTTAATTTTTTAAATTAGTTTTAGCATGTTACTTCGTTTGCGTGGATTTTAAAAGTAGGATAAATTAATATAATATGTGTAATTTGGTACACGTGCAGGTTGCGTCCTAACATAGCACATAAAATACTTTAAGTACTGATTCCTGTGGGTGGAACCGCGGGATTAGCTAGTGTTGTATAACATTGTTAATACACATCATCTGAAACACAACTCGATTCTGTTTTTTTTTTACCTTTTTTATGCAACTTAGAATGGCAGACAAGCTGACGGCCCACCTGATGGAAAGTGGCAATCTTCGTCTATAGACACGAGCAGTACCATGGACATAACAGAGTATACTGATTCGCCCATGACACCCCCCATGCTACTTAACTGTATGTATATTTGCCAAAATTATCCATTTGTTTAAGAACTACCTACTTCTATCGGTATTACGCTTTGACGTTGACATGTTTTTATAAAATGCTGTGACATTGCGCGACACCAACCTGATGGTGCACCACGATGAGCTCGTCGACAACGTGCACCGCGAACCTGCCCACCAGGCCTGTCTTCAGCACGTGCGTGTGGTGGTAGCCATTGGGGCTGCTCAGGGGCATCAGCCACACCTGTAAACATGGTGCAGATCATCGTGACATTGTGGTACGTGTTGTTGCCCTCAACAGATGGTAGTGACGTCAATTTGATTTCATTTATTTATTTTGTGATACACAGGTTTTTTTTATTTATTTTTTATACAACTTAGAATGGCAAACAAGCTGACGGCCCACCTGATGGAAAGTGGTAACCCTCGCCTATAGACATGAGCAGTACCATGGACATAACAGAGTATACTGTTTCGCTCATGATACCCCCCATGCGTTGCCATTCCTGAGGATTCAGATGTTATTCTTCTGTAACCTGTAAATTCACTGCCATATACCACCCTTCAAACCGAAACACAGCCATGCAAACACGACTGCTTCACGGTAGAAACACGAATGAGACAGAGGTACCCAAGCAATAAGCAATACTGTTTACAATAATAAAAAAAAACATAATACAATAAAAACAATGAAACAAAGCACAAGTATGTTAAATCATATTACTAAAAAGAAAAAAGAAAGAGTATTTACATTCGCTAATAAACTGTTGATCAGTTGGGGGATTTCCATAATGGTAACATGGTTAAATACAATAAAAATAAATAAAATAAAGCTACAACCAAAGAACTGAACTGATATTTTTTTAATGATACATAGGCAAACAAATTGACAGACCACCTGATATAAATAGTGGTAACTATCTCCTATATACATGAATATGGACATCATAGGATAAACTGTGATGTACATGGTATATTTTAAGGATTACAATGTTATGCCTTATGACCCATACAGATGCGGTTCCTTCTAATAAAAAAATTGCTTTTCAAGCATTAGGTAGTTTTTTTTTGTATATAACTTGGTCAATGTAATGTGATTTAGTAACTATTGCTCTTCGGCATTAATACAAAATATATTATGATGTAAACTATGTATTATATATTGGAGTTTTAATACTGGCTGTTGACACTGAGATTTTTTAGAACAATGTATTATTTTTAAGTTTGTTCTATGTCAGATTTTTATAAGAAATGTCTCGTATTTTTTCACTAAACTTACAACACGGTTTCAGAGATGTTTTCTCCCACGAAAACTCAGGTTATGGAATGAGCTCCCTGCCGAGGTTTTCCCAAGAGACTACAGCATGGGGTTCTTCAAAAGGGGGGTAAAGAGGTTTCTTCAGGGTCGGCAACGCGCGCGTAAAACTTCTGGTATTGCAGGCGTTCATGGGCTACGGTAACTGCTTACCATCAGTTGGGCCGTATGCTTGTTTGCCACCTCAGTGGTATAAAAAAAATGTATATTACTGCATCTTGCTATTTACAACATGATATACCTCAGTGGGACCTGGCGACGACGCTGTAGATACACTGTGGCGAAATATAGCACACCATGTTGCGTCACAGAGGCGTATTACGCACACGTCCCTCTCCATCACAGGTTTTGACGCTTCCACTGTGAAATGTGATGGTAAATAGATTGAATATATGTAGTAGGTATAAAATATTAGAAATAAAAAAACAAAAACAAAAACATTCATAGATATAAAAATAAAAAAAAAAATTATGACTATACATTTTTACTTTTGTTACATTTAGCTTTTTAATATAAGGTATGTAAAAAATAATACTTTCATAGCTACAATAGTATTATAAGCGACGGTTACCACTTTCCATCAGGTGGGCCGTCAGCTTGTTTGTCATTCTAAGTTGTATAAAAAAAAATACTATTATGACCATAGTACTCCCCATGCATTGCCATTCCTGAGGACTAAGATGTTATGTGTTCACACCCTGTAATCTCACCATGAATGAGCATGAGTAGCATAGTACATTTAGGTCCTAAAGTCAATGTCTCAGTGGTATAAAAAATAAAGCAAATTACCACACAAATATAGTATTATTCATATTGGTGGATACAGTGCAGTAATAAGTTTGTTTGTCAAGTGATGTATTTATTAATTGCTATTTACCTTCATACTAGGTTAATACATAACCCCATTTTTGTTCCTTGTTTCTTATCTAGCATGTCATTATGTTTATTTGTTACTTATTGTAATAATTACTTGTATATATTTGATTTCATACTAACAGTGTTATATTAATATACTGCAACAAATACTAAATACACTATCAGGACTTAACATGACGAAAATTGCAGGTAAATAGTACCAACATATCTAATTTTTATTGCCAACATTTCAACATTTAGTTGTAGGTATTATTTACCCAAAATTTTCATCCCATAAAGTCCCAATAATGTATAAAATATGTGTCAACATCATGATAGTTTAAAATTAATTAACTTATACTAACATTCAAGTTTCTGCAGCTTGGTGATGGTAGAGTTGTTCAATGAAAACGGCTGTAGCAATACACCATTGTTGCCAGCCAGCAGCACCGTGTTGCTTTGTGAACACCAGGAGAACCAGGCACCACTGGATAAAGCATATTTAAATATAAATTAACTATTCGTGTTTGTAGCAGTTGTGTTTGCATGGCTGTGTTTCGGTTTGAAGGGTGGGATATGGCATGAATTTACTGGGTACAGAGGAATAACACCTAAGTCCTCAGGAATGGCAACGCATGGGAGGGATCATGGGTGAAACAGTATACTCTGTTATGTCCATGGTACTGCTTCGGACCATCCGCTTTGTTTGCCACTCTAAGTATTAAAAAAAAATTATTGTTGACAAAAATTGTATTGGAGTGGGTATATGATGAGAGACAAAAATGAGAAGTGTGCTAACGATGGGACCGAATGTTGTTCACACAATGGTAAATAAAAGTAACAGAGAGAGACAAAAGACTAGATGTGAAGATGACCTGAAGGAAGTGGGAGAACCATAGTGGCACTAAACCACACATAGTAGAAAGATGTGGAAATCATTGGAGGAAGCCTATATGACAAGACAAACTGATAAAAGATACAATAAAAGCATAAGGTTAAAATCTCATAAAATATGATAGTTTATTGTTATTAAAGGACTTTATATGGAATTATTATCAGTCATGAAATGAAAATGGATTAATGTGTGTAAATGTACTATCAGTAATTAAAGGCTCAAGTAAATAAATAAATAGTAAGTAAATAAAAATATGTTTTTTGTTTAGTTATATATCACTATAGTAGGTAATATGTTTGTTTATAAAATTATCTGTGTAAAAAAAGATTTGGGTTAGGACTCATAGATGAGGGACATTTGAGAGTTATTCTGTGTCTACGGACAGCTGATGTATTTTTTGTTTATCCTGGATACACTGGATATACATTTTAAGTTACATTATTATGTTTCTAAAAAAAATATTACATTAAAATTAATAGTAATATACCTAAATGATGTACTTTTCAAATTCTTCAACTGCTTCTTCTCAGGCAAGACTTGCAACAACTCAATCCCATGGTCCGTAATAAATGCTATCTCATTTACTTTCGGCCACACAAATCCCAGAATTTTAGCATTCTTCCATTTACAAGTATGACAGTACTCTATGTTTGTTGGGGCCAAGTCTTGGAAATTCACAAATTCCACTATAGCATTCTGATTGTCGTGGTTGCGTTGGATGGCCAGTATTTTGTGGTCTGGTGAGAATTTTATTGATATTATTGGACCCCTATCTTCCATCCTGAAGGATGTGCACTTCGATTCGTCCATTCCATTGACCGTCACACCTGTCACTCCTCCAGATCTAACTGTAAACACCTGCAAACACAGTTTGCTTCTAACTTCAACAAGATATAAACTTTGTACAAGAAATATTTTATATTTATCCATGTGACTACTTACCTCTCCATTTGTGTCGTCAAAAAATACATTTGTTACAGGACTATCAGCATCAAACTTTTTCGGCTGATCAGACAGAGCTAAGTAATACTCCTCGGTGTCTTTTAAGCTAAAATGAGACATGATTTGTATTGAAAAGTCGATTGTTAACGTGTGAGTAATTCGCCCATTACAATTTCACGTTGCCTTTCAAATTGCTCACGTGCTATATTTTAAGTACTATCGAAAGACTTTATTCAAACTCTTGCGATTTTGTTGTTTCATCAACTAGACAACAAATGAAATATTTTTTTGACAGCGCTGTACTTTGCACCGATTTTATTTTGGTCACTGAAAGTAACAATAATGACACTAATTTATTTACAATTCTATAAAATAGATAACAATATAAATGTTTTTGTTTTGTATATAAGATAGAGAAAACACAAACCTAACTAAAAAGTAAGTAATCTACTTATTCCTATAAGAACTGGTATTACCTTTACAATAACGAACAGGAAAATAAATATATGCAACCATTAAGAAGTATCAAAACGATAAAATAAATCAATACTCACAATGTTGTACAATTATTTACAATGTCTCTCAGCACAAAATGCCGATATAAATAAGTATTATAAAAGATCTAATTATTTTAAAGTGTAAATTTTTTAAATTTTATTAATTGGTTACATAGACATTTACAAATTTTTATACGAAGTGAGCTTACTTTTGCTGTTGTTCAATGAAAGAAAATTGACAGTTGATTGCATATTAATGTTACGTTCATGAACAGGCAATTACGCCTTGGCAATCATAATAAATTAGTATAATTTATTAATAGGTAATCAATCAACAAAATCATGTTCCTAATATTTTTAAAAAGTTTTAGTTTTAATTAAATTTTGTCTCCTAGTAATGAATTATTTTTCTTAATTTTAAGTTATCCTGAATGTTTCTTAATTGCCATGACAACTTTTGGCGGAACAATACAAATTGCAAAAGCTTATGGTTTTGATAGATTAAGTAATTGTAGCATCAGTGTATTTGTTTATATAATTATGTCCGAAAATATCGAACTCTATTCTTTTTGTATCAATTCTACGTCAAATAATAGCGATATTGAAGAATATCACGAAATAAGTCAAAAAGATAAAATAGATGTGGTACCGGAATATCTATCAAAAACATTAAAACACTATGATTTTTTTACACAATTTGATATTAATGCCGTTAATCAAAATACCGAGAATAGGAAAAAAAGTAAAAAGAGAGATAAAACAAAAAATATAATGGATATAATTAGTTTGGAGTTGGCCTCGACAGCAGTGCCTATATCTAATAATATTATGACTGTTGTGGATAACATTGCGGAACAACAAAGTAATTGCCTAATAAACATTCCATGGACACAAAAAATATTTAAAAGATTCATACCACCTTACTTAGATACTGAATATGGGTAAGGTTTTATGTTAACATCAAACTTCATTACTAATAACTAATATACTGCACTACTACCTATCTTCTTCCAATGGATATACTACCTGCAACAATGCCTTTGCTTCCTTAACATTTATGTAGATTATGCTTTGTATATAGCCTACAATTCCGCTGATGACTTCTGCAGTTATAAGACTCGAATGAAACGCTCGCACCTGGATTGCTTGTTCTCGGCCGGAACCTAGGATTATTAAGTGGCAACTTTTACTTGCGGCCACTTTTTTTCTGCAACCGGATGTGTACATATATACTTACATTTTATATTTTTTACATTTATATTTACGTTGCTGTATAGAAAAAAGAAAAAAGTTTCATATATAGTTTGTATTATAAAAAAGAACCAATTTCCAATAATTTTTATTTGCGCGGTTACTATTTATGAATAATAAAGGCGGTGTATTAAACTTTTAATATCATGACGTTTTTGTTAATTATGAACCGATTTTAATGATTGATTTTAATTGAAAGGTAGAGTTGGTCTTAACTAATCTGATGCCCTCCATGTAAATTTTGATCTAGTCATATCCTCCCCTCCACTCTCCCTCCAAATACTTAATTCGTTATTCATTCCAAAGTATCATAATTGCATTTAATGTGGTCTTTTATCGATTTTTGGGGTTTATTGCGCACCCTCTTGGTCCTTGGCACCTCCGAGTATCGTCCGACCACGTCCACTTCCCCTCCTCCAGGTTGTCGTATGGATTAAGTAATAGCATATTGCACCAATTAATTTTGTGAAGCTGAAGAGTATTTTTCAATAAAATTTTAAGAAGTAATTATACAATTCATTATTTACTATTTTGATTATTATAGATGGGGACATAAATCGAGTATGGCGGTCTTAAGTCCAGTATTTCCAAGAGTTCTTGATAATGCCATCACCAATGCCAATATACCTGTACAATACATTGAGCCAACAATGTTTAAGAATTTTATTTCTAATAATATACATGACAGTAAATTAACACCAAAATTTTTGGATATTTCCATTAAAAATATTAAATTTAAACATCATCATAAATTTTCTTTAGAAAAGCTACTTAGTGTTAAACTTGTTGACACTTATAATGATTATATTGCAAAACAACAATTAATAGATGAACTGATGCGGGATATAAAAGTTAACAGGGAGACTAGAGATAATCTTAAGCAAGATCTTTTAAGAGTAAGTCCAAATAAAAAAGAAGATATAAGATTCGATGAAACTGTTAGGAAATACACTGATAAGTTATTGAAAGCTAAAGCAAAATATCTAGAAACTTTAAAAATGAGAAAACAATTGATCCATAACATTATAGTTTTATGGTCAGATATAGAAATGATTAGAGATAAGACTGGAACGATAACGACTCCATTCATATTACACATAGCAACAAAAACTTTGGATGGCAAAAAATATGAAGAAGAATGGGATAGAGTTTTCAATATAGAATTTACCGATTTACTCTGTAAAATGGAATACGAATATGTTAGTAAATACATCGAATATAAAGAAATGAAAAAAGATCAGAATGTAGAATATTCAAGAAGAAAAAGTCTAAGTAAACCGAAATTGGAGGTTGATCAAGAAGTATTGAAAGAAGAGGCAGAGGAAATTGTTAATACTGTTCTCATGAGGGAGGCAATAGAAGTAAATTTGAAAACAGATGATAGTATTTTATCGAATAAAAAATTGGAGAAAAATCAATTACTTTACAATTATTGTTTTACCATCTTTATAGACGATGTCTTTGTATGTGAATCAGAACAAAGTGTTAGTCAAAATCTTTCTAGTATAGAGATAAATGAAACATTTTCTGTACAAATAATACCAAACAATAAAACACTTACAATAGTTTTATCAGAAAATAGTGAAGATGTTGCATATATAAAGAAAAATCTGTCGGATATTAAGAAAAGTTACGTTCATTCTGATTTTGTTATAGAATATTTTGTCTATAAAAATATTGTAGAACCCAATACAAAAATTGTTGGTAGTGGGTTTAATATAAAAGATATAGCGAAACAAAATAAAATGAGACTTAAAAGTAGTAATAACTTTGAAGGGAAATTATACACAAATTGTGAAACAAATTTGAGAATTGGGTGGAATGAAAAACTGAGTAATAGCAATAGTGAACACATCAACTCTTCAATGGATATAGGGAGACAACTGAAAAGACTAATGCATGGTATTGATAAACCTAATATAGACTTACTGGTAGATATTATTAGTAAAATCTACGGGAAAGATGTCGAGGGAGATGATAAAATAATGAGTATGTTGAGAAATATTTGTAAATCAAATTTAAAAGGTGACGAGGCATTTCCTTTTCCTAAAGAAAGCAGTCCGGAATATGTACGATTAAAATTATTGCATTTAAGGAATGTTGGAGGATTTAGCAATATTGAGAATAAATTAATACCCTTACATGGTAGTCAAATTTCAACAGAACAGCTGAATTGCCTCCAAATGAGCGATGATAAAGATTTTGATATTGAATATATTCATAGTAAAAATGTGGATAGGGATCCTATAGAAATGGAAAGGTTTATTGGGGCTAAATATGTACAGAAATTAAATAAAAACCTGTTAATAAATATTAACGAGCACCTTCTGAAGAAAACACATAAAGATGTAGTGAGAGATTTTAAAAATTTCGGTTTCAGGTTTGCTAATTATGTTGTTTAAATACTATTTACAGTTTTTTAATCCTGGTACTTTATTTATTAATAATATTATGAATTCTAGGAGCTTCTTTTCGAGTGAAACGAAATTTACAGCACTTACGACCATATCGAGCAGCACAAAACAGCAATTTTTAAATGAATCATTGTGCAAGGAACAAGAGCTGCAAGTTACCGTATTAAGGGCTTTTAATTTGCTAGATAGGAAAGACACAATACTCAATGAAGACGACGAAACAGATGATAAAATTGCAGGTAAATATGTACGTTATCTCCGTTCATTTGGTATCGAAGTGAGAATACTCTGATGTCGGCAATGTTAGCTAAACTCCTTTTTATCCTCGGGATGAAGATTATAAATGATGACGAAGGAAAAAAGCAAAGCACGATATGTACACCAATTTAACGTGCAGAAGAAAGAAAATTTAAAACCACGTATTTCGTAGTCTAAATATCTTTAAAGCTGTGTAGTAAGATATAAAATATTTATATAACACATAACAGTATTCTGTTATATGTTATCCAAAGTTAGATGTAGAGCCAACGACTTGAACATTATAATAAATTAGACAAGGCTTCTATTTATCTTAGGTTAGGTTCTTGAACTTATTTAACTGGATTTTCAGGTTATAAAGTTCGCCCTCTGAGGCCATTTGTAAGAGTCAGCTATCATGGTACTTTAGCACAGACCGCAACTGCTATCGGCTGCCACCCTACTTGGAATCAGACAGTAATCATCAAAGCCAGGTGGGTAGTAAGTACGGTTTCGTGCCAATATACTTATATTGTGAAAAAAGATAAATATAAAAGTACCAGCTATTAGTCAATGCTACATATTGCTATAAATTTTCGATCCCCAGACCTGATCCACTGTCGTCGATTTATATAAATATTTACGATGAGTACAAAGCGAATATAGATAAAGGATACTCGGAAGAACAGGGTACTAGTCAGACTGTTCATTATAGATATTACAACAAATGGCTGGGAACTCTTCATGTGCCTTTGTATGCAGTCTTGACGATGGGTGTGGTAAGTTTTTGTGTCTAGTGTCTTAAGCATATACTAGAATTGTTGTTCTTTTGTATATCCATCAGATCTTTTGGTTAAAATTGTAAAAGCTGCTTTTTTAGTTGATTTATTAACTGGACCTCATAAGTACCTACTTTCATGTTTTCAGCTACGCGGCACCTTCAAAATAAACTCCCCACCTGCAATATTTGGTTATGAATCTCTGTCTCGAACAAAAGAGAGTACCCAATCATTGATACCAGAAGTAACACAACTGATGAACAAGGATACATCGTATATATCCCTTCAAATAACTACAAATCTCTCCCATTTAGGTGGACTACAAATGTACAACCAACCCATACCGAGTAGTCCTGATGATGATTACCTCATAAAACACTTGAACAACTTTGTTACGGAATATCTGAATGATTTTCCGTCGAGGACCCTTTCTCTAACATTTGTAGATAGTTCGGGACGAAATAAATGTGTAACGCAATTTCTGCAACCAATCCCCTTACCTGATTATGAGTTTTTTCCTAAAAATCCTAAAAACAGATCTGGGTCTGCAGTATCGAAAAGTTCTGGGTTTTCTAAAAGTTCCTCATCAAGAAGCAGTGGAGGCAGAAAGGAGGATGATAGGGGATCGAATCAAACAATCAATGAAGAGAGAGAATCCATTTATGGGACAAGAGACGGGAGCTGGCGGAGTGGAGATAGTCAGTTGACAAGACTGATCAACGCTAGTGTTAGATATGTGGCATTAATACCCACGTACGAAATTACTGAACCTCATGTTGTCACTTTATTGGGAGTGGTAGGTAGACTATTGAAGTTTTTGACACAAGAAGCATAATATCATGAGCTGCACGGCCTTACGTTAATCTTCAGGAGTAGTAACGTAACTAAGAATATCATGAGTATCGTTATTACGTACAGGATGTAATCAAATTTATTATACAGTTTCATTATATAGTTTTACCAGTGAAACTTATCGTTTTTCTCAAAGACATATTGTCAAATATGTCGATAAATGTTACGCCATGTCTCTTTGAAAAAATTATTTAGTTTCACTAGCAATTTACTTGCTTAAATGCTAATGATTTCGATTATACCGTTATGTAATGGTTGATCAGGTGCGCTGTCAGAGCCAAATGCGGAGAGGGTGGTGGGGGTGGTGTCTACCCCAGAATTGTCTGGTGCCCGTTCCCCAGGACGTAAGCGAAATTTCCATTTATGCACAAAGACATTTCTGATAGAACCTAATGTGCCTTTTTAGGGCTCACTGCCCTTCCAATCTTTGGAAATACACCAATGTGTAGGGCTTCTTTACACGACATTCTCAGCAATCACTTGAAATTTTCAGCAATCAATTGTGCTTCCAGGAACTACTGAAAGTCCTATACGGCTCGCCCATCGATCACAGCATACTCCTAGCTAGCTACTTCCTCTACCTGGGCATAAAATGTTGGGTAGCTATTGGCGTGGGTCTGCCCCGAGGCCGGACCAGTTACGTCCTAACCAAGTATGATACGACTAGCCGGAGGATCGTGTTGTCGAATGACCAGTTGTTCAAGAAGGGACTATTGGACCGAACCGACGGGTACCTATGGTATGTCCACGACGCCACTAGCGGGGAGAGGTACGAATTGAGAGATGTGAGTTGTCCGCTGAAAACCGTGGACTATGTGTTCGACAATGAAAATGTAAGTTCTTATTGTTTGATATTATGGAATTATCGAGATTGCTGCTTTTTCTTCGCAAAAAATAGTGGCCTCAAGTCAAATTTATTATAGGGCCAGTGCCGTAACTATACCATCTGAGGTCCGTGATAAATTCATCGGATAGGGCCCCACATGCGTTGCCATTCCTGAGGACTCCGGTGTTATTTATTTATTTTATTTTTATTTATTTAACTCTTTATTGCACCATAAATAAAAATATACAATGACAAGTGAATAATTCAAATGAAATACAGTAACTATTATTCCTCTGTACTCTGTAAATTCATTGCCATATCCAACCCTTCAAACCGAAACACAGCCATGCAAACACAACTGCTTCGCGGTAGAAACACTAATGGGACAGAGGTGTGCAAGCAAACGACTTTTGTACAAAGTCTCCCTCTGGTTTATATAAATATTTAAATATAAATGTTTACTTAAACTATTGCAATTTGTGTTTGTTTTTGGTTGTACTTCAAAATACCTTGTTACCAAATTTATTTGTATAATTTGTATATGCTTATGAGTTAATAAAATTCTTAAATCTATTAAATAATTTTTTTTTTCTGACAACATTATGCAATAAATATTAGATTCTTCCCGTTCTCACGGTGATTCGAACCATGGGTCTCGTCAGGTCGGGAGCCCGTAGAATTTTGCCTGTTCTACCACACTATTGTTACTCCACTGTGGAGGACCAACTCAGGCAAATGACTTAGCAAAATAATTTTAGGATTTGTGCATACCTATAAAGCAAACAAATGTATGCAATTGGTTACTTGAGAGTTTTCGGATTATTTTTTTATTGTTAAGGAAGCAAACGAGTTGATGGAAAGTTACTGTCGTTCAAGAACACCTGCAACACGATAAGAGTCGCTTGTGGGTTGCAGAATAAAAGTAATAGTCGAGAAATGCAATATTACAATTCTTTTTAGATTTGGGTGAACGTCCAGACATGTCAAGATTGTGAAAGCGTATCATTTGATTTCACCAAATCATCGAACTGGCAACCTGTGAGTAAAGAATATTGAACTCTATTAGATAGAGAATAAAACCTAAATTAATTCAATGTCTACAATATGAAAACTTCCAAAGATAAATTTAAAATATTCAATTGTTGAGGAGAATTGAGCTGGGTTTCTTTGTTGAGGTTCCAGGACTGTGCAGGCTCACTAATGAACACTCATTAGAGGGTAGAAGAGATTGTTACAAACAGAGACTAGCGGCCCCATTGCTGGTAATATATGTCAGGTGGACCTTCACGCAGATCCCCCTGGAAATCATCGTGGTTTATTCTGGACGACTTCTTCGTCATGATAGTCCAACTGATCTGACTTCGTGTTCACTTATCATCCTTCACTAGTAAATCCCCAAGGAGTGCCAAGATAACGCAGGGGTTACTATTCAATTATGATCATTAAAAAGAAATCTAAATAAATTTGTGATTGCATAATATACTTACATACAATTGGTTGCCGTGTAGTCCCAGCATAGAATAGGCTACTTCGTCCATTCGCGTGTGTCGTAAGAGGCGACTAAGGGAGGGCGAGGGCTGGGCAGCAGCGTCTGTTTTATAACATTACCAAAAGCCAAACTACGGTTGCCAATACGCATGTCCAGTATGGCAACTACTGGCAAAATCCCCGTAATGCTAAATTGCCATAAAGAACGGTCTCGTTCCTTATCTATGGGGGAGACCTATTTTCAGCAGCAGATAGATAACGACTGATATGAAGGTGATGATGATACAACAGGTATTCGACAAGAGAATATTCGTGATGAAGCAGCCGATTGTCAACGATCCGGCGCTGTACAGCGCGCCAGCAGACGTGGCTCGGCTGAGGGAGGCCCTGGAACTCAAGATCAGGAGCAAGGTGCAAAAATGGCGACCACACATGAAGACTATATGGAACAGGTGAACAGCAAACTTTATTACTAAACAATCCGTATCATACACATTCAAACGATTTCAAATAGCTGTTTCCCATACGAACTCCGATAGTGTGAGAGAGATAAAGAGAGAACTTTTGGAAAAATCATAAAAATAGATAATTAGAATATAAAACATGTAATTACTTAGGCTAGATCGGTGTTCCCAACGTGGGGCCCACGCCCCGCAGGGGGGAAATTTGATTGTTAAGGGGGGGCAATAAAAAAATGGACTCGAAGCGATTTTAACCCTCTTGCTCCGGGTCATTTAAATGCAATGCTACGAGTAGATATTGGTTCCAAATTTAAGTAAAAAGTAAATAAAAAAAATGCTGTAAATACTTATTAGGTATTAGGTCGTTTGACGTTACCAAAATGTCAACTGGGCAATTAGAGTCGTCAAGTAAACTTTGTCGGGAAAAATTATGTATGGGGGTATACAAATTTTATAAAAGTTCAAGTGGGGCATGGCACTAATAAGGCTGGGAACACTGGGCTAGATGTCAATTTTGAGTTAATTTTTGACCAACTTCAAAAAGAAGGGGTTTCTCAATTCGGTTGTATTTTATTTGTTTGTTACGTCTAAATCGATTTCGAAAATTATTTTCTTATCTGTCTATGATATGAAATATTTACAGATAGGTTCTATAGAATTTTATCGAAATCTGTTCAGTAATTTAGTCGGTTTCTTTTGTGAAATGCAATATCATGTAAAATTTAGATATTGCCCAGTGCTTATATATTTTCGAAGTTATTTTACAGATACTGCAGCGGACTATTACGGGAGCTGCTCCCCTCTTGGGAATACTGGACTTTCAACCCCGCTGAAACGAAGCCTGGCTTCAGTCAACGAATGAAACAGTTGATGGTCACTTACAAGGTAATGCTCTCTTTTAATGGATGGAAAAGGAATGGTAACTCCTCCTGCTCGGGATAGAGGGAAGGGATTGTTAGTAATGGGAGTATGAGATTGCTAGCAATATACTTCGCCAGGCGACCCCGTACCTCAAATACATTGTAGGGAGGCAGTGGGTGCAGGTGGCTCAGGACCGTTCTTTATGGCAGTCTGTGGGGGAGGCCTATGTCCAGCAGTGGACGAATAATGGCTGAAATGATGATGATGATGAAGGTTTATCTATTATATTTAATAGATGATCACTATAATATCAGCCGTCTACTGTCCACTGCTGAACATAGGCTTCCCACAAAAGGGTGATCTTGCCAATAGTTGCCATGCTTGGCAGACGGGTTGGCAGCCGTAGTTTGGCTTTGGTGATGTTCTAAGAGGGACGCTGCTACCCATCGACCATTAAGTTCCTTTATAAATAACTAGCGACCCGCCCCGGCTTCGCACGGGTGCAATGTTGATACGCAGCCGTCTCCCGTTAGATTAGAAACCTAAAATTATCAGTGTCTCTCTACAATATTATGCATGTATTATACATATAAACCTTCTTCTTGAATCAATCTATCTATTAAAAAAACCGCTTGAAAATCCGTTGCGTAGTTTTAAAGATGTAAACATACATAGGGATAGACAGACGGGAAGCGACTTTGTTTTATACTATGTAGTAATAGATAAATCTAATAAATACTTAACCCTGGGGGGAAAGTGATTGTTAGTAATAGAGACTAAGAATCCCATTGCTAGCAATATATCCAACCAGGTCGACCTCCTCGCGTTTCGCCCTGGAGACTATCATGGTTAATTCCTGACGAATTCATCATGATGGGCTAACTGACCTGTTTTCATTCTCATCTATCACCCTTCACTGGTGCTCCGCCAGCGTATCCCGTTAGCGCAGGCGGGATTACCATACCATTTTCACCCATAAAAAAAAAATGCTTAACCCTTTTTAAAGATTCTTTCACCTATACAAAGCATCAGCGTCTCACATGGATTGTAATTTATTAAAAAAAAACCGAGCCAAGCCGAAGCAGCTTGCTAGAAATATATGTTACAACTGAATAACGGGAATTCAATAAAATAGAAAATAATATTAGAACTCAAAACGGAAGTAACATAAATCAATTTCCTTTCCAGATATACGGTTTCCCTCTGAACATGGCGTACGCGAATGCAAAGTCAGTCGTTTCATGCGTGAAGTCAACAGGGGTGCACGTGGATGACGACCCTAACGCTGAATTCGGGCTGGCAGTGGACGTGTACGCTTACCCTAACAACGTTTTGAGCGTTTGGGTGTTCTTAGCTTCTATTACTAGGATATAGTGGAATAAATAATTACTTACATACACTAACTTGCGGGGGGAAAGGGATTGTTGACTTGAAAAGATAAAAAAAAACCAAGCTCGTATGTGTCTTTTTGTTTTAATGCTAACAAAATAAAATTAACATTTATTCCATCGTAGTATAAAAATATACGTAAAGTAGAAAAAAGGTATTACAGAGTTACGTAGTAGCGTTCGTGCGGCGGGCAGCGAGCGGCGCCCGCGGTAAAGGTGTTCACCTCACAACTTCAACATTAATAAAACGTCACGTTTGTTCGTCTCGTTACTGTAAGAGCCTTAACACACGGGCGGTTCTGCCGCCGCGGAGAACCGCTCGTAAACCGTCGCCGACACAACACAATGTCTTCGCTCTGCTATCATTCGATAATAAAAAAAAAAAACACTTCTTTCATAGCTTGTTAATTGAAGCTGGTATGAGCCAACAAGGTCTTCATTCTGAAGGAAACGCAGCAAACGTCCATTGCGTAGATTTTCTCTCGTCCGTGAACCGTATCGACTCGTGAAAAACCACGTCTTTTGCAGTGAACTTTTATCATATATTGTGTCTGCAACGGTTTATAAACGGTTTTCCGCCGCCAAAAAAGAAAAAAAACCGCTCGTCTACAATATTTGCTTTTACAAATTTCCCACTATCGTTCGTGTTGAGAACACACTGTTATTTTCCATTATACATAATATCGATTCAGGTGACTAGTCATGACGGAATATCTTTTAAACATTACAATATAACAGAAATAAAAACCAAATGGCCAAAGGAGCACACACATCAATCTGTCCATGGACGCTCAAACACCTCAGTCACAGCACAAAAATACTAAAGTAAGAGAGACAATTTTATACATATTCCTATATACTAAACTAGAATTTTTTGTACAGTTAATATAAACATTGAGTTATGCTGCGGCCACGTTCACGGCGTTTCGCCGTATGTTACCGTATTGTACATCTCGAGTGGTATGCGTGAATTTACTGGGTACAGAGGAATAACATCTGAGCCCTCAGGAATGGCAACGCATGGGGGGTATCATGGGCGAAACAGTATACTCTGTTATGTCCATGGTACTGCTCATGTCTATAGGCATCGGTTACCACTTTCCATCAGGTGGGCCGTCACCTTGTTTGCCATTCTAAGTTGTATAAAAAAAAAGTATGCTGATGACTTTAAAGTGACGTCTGCCTACGGTCACTGAAATGGCTAAAGGATGACGTCATTAGAGAGTAACTGACGTCGCCATCGCCATATTACATGGGATGTATGGGGAAATTTTGTATTTGCGTATTGAAAAGATTTGTCGCGATCAATTTCTAAAAGTACTTGTTCAAATATAAAATTTGAGCCAATTTTGGTTAAATGATAAAAATGACATGTAATTAGTCATCAAACGGCGACAACTTGACACGAATGTTCGCCCGTGCACGTGGTAGCAACAACCAAAATAACATGATTCATTAAACAGTTTACAAAATGGCCGTCAGTTATTTCTGTAGCATTAAAGTTCACACGTGCTTATACGATTGACAAGCGTGGCGAACACCTTTACTAAAGTCCGTTTCTCTATAATTGCTCGTTTTAGTAAACAATCTTAACATTCATTTTGTTTAAATCCTATTATTGAAATAGCGGTTAACAAGTTGCATAAGTAGTTAAAGGAAAATGTTTAAAAATTATGACAGTTATAATAATGTAGACCTTATGTACATTCCCTTTGAGTCCAAACTCAATCCGTCATCAGTTATATGTATCCTACTTAGATATCTTCGAACCCATCTGTTGTTTTCTATAAAAATCGAGTTATGAACCATTGAATAAAATAAAACACAAATTCGGTCTAGTCTTTTGAGAACTTAACTTATAAATAGTTTATTATTTTATTTTTGAGTCATACGCTTCATATATAAAGCCTATAGACGCTTTCTCCTTTTGAGTTCTCAAGATTGATTGGAAGAGATTATTTTAAAGAATAAGTCCGTCTGTGTACACTATAACCTGATATTTACGTTTAACTGTAACTGTACCTATGTTTACGAAAAAAACAAAATTATATAACTAAATAAATAAGGTGACATTATGGCCAAGTGCACTCAAATCTTAATATATAAAAATTCCACGCACGATGCTCCTTCACGTTAATCTCCAAAACTGCTTGACCGATTTTAATGAAATTTTATAAATGTGTAATATTTGGTCCAACTTGAGAGATAGGATAGCTTTTTAAGAAAAAAAAAATGTGGCCGGTAGGGTCCTTAACAACATTTGCTGAGTCAGCTAGTATAATATTATAGGATAGCTAGGATAAAAATCCTTATCGAAGTACAAGAGACGGGTCAAGATTGTTCACCAGAAGCAGGCAGGTGAAAACGGAGTACATGTTCATGAGCGGGCGGTGCTAGCTTAGCTGCCGGGGTCGTCGGTCTTGTTTTGTTTGGAGCGGCGCAGCTGCTGCAGGTAGTGCCGCTGGATGGGCTTGTGTAGTGCCAGCTGGGCGAGAGCGTCGTCGATAGAGAACCACTGCCGCTTGCGGCCCATCAGCCGTGAGTCCTCCCATTCGGCCAGCTCCTGGGTCACAGTCATCACGTACACCTCCGTTCGGTGTTTGTGCTCCCGGTTCTGGAAAGAAAGGGAAAAAGGATTGTCAGTAACGATTTCTAACAGCTCCATTGCTAACAATACACCCTAACAGGTTGATTTCTACGCAGTTCCACCTGGAAACCATAGTGGTTAATTCTAGTTCAATTGGTCTCTATGGGCCAACTGACTTGAGATTGTGCTCTATTTTAGGTTACAACAATGACGAATTTATCAGTAATTAAACATGAAGACTTCCAGGGGATAAAGCGTGATGGTCGTCTTGAGTTATTGCTAGCAATAGACACTGGCGCCATTACTAGACCGAGTTATTAACAATTTCCTTGTCCGGTCTGAGTTTACTATTTATTTTTATGACACAGTGGATTTGCGATTTATAGAGCATTAATCGTTGATCCGGCGTGAAATACTGCTTCGCTCTATTAAGCACACCGAGTTTTTTGGATGCCAGCTTCACCTTATCTTCGAGGTGGCTACGGAACTGTACATTACTAGAGACATCGACACCAAGGATTCCAATACTTTTAGAGATGTTAAGAAATGTGCCTTGAAATTATCGAGCCAGAGCAAATGGGGTTTTTTTGCATGCGGTTCACCTGATGGCAAATGCCTACTGCCGCAACATCAGAGGAATTGCCGCTGTGCTGTTGGCCTTTTGGCTGGGATAGTTGGTCAGAGAATAAGTTTATATACAAATATATAAAAATGCTATTCGTTGATACCATAGTGCAGGACATGAAATAGTAGAACTAATTGGAATTTGTAGGAAAAAAAAAATTTGAATTTGTACAGGAAAACGATCGTCGAGTTAAGTTTTTATATTCAATACAAAATTTACCTAATTTACTCGAATATAGAAACATTTAGAATTCGTGATTTACAAGACACTAAGTTGATAGTACTAATAAAATGTGTACGCATACTATAACAAAATCGGGTGTTTCAATTTATATTCTTTTAGCTAGCAATAAAAACTAAAGACGTAAATGTTGCCTACGCACATAAAACGTCAGTTTAACATGGTAATCCACAGATTTTGGTCAGCTTCGCCAACAATATTTGCCTTTCGAGTTACGAGTAAATTTCAAATCTTACAGATCGTCAAATCGTGACGAGGAAACTACACAGTGACGTGTTTGTCAATGTTTTAGTTAGGAATATATCTATGTTTGAATAAAGTTAAAATTAAACATTGGTATACAAAAAAACCGTAGGTGCACTATGGGGGCTAAAAGACGAGGCTAAAAATATAGTATATTCAATCATACATTATCGTCCATTAAAAAAAAAAATGGCAATATGACCATACATGTTTTTGTATCAATATATAATAACAGTTTTGTAAATATCTGTTGAATTTCTGTAAGTTATTTTGTTGAGAACCTTTTGAAATGTCAATTCTTGCAATCTGACAAACTAAACCAATCAAATATGCCTATAATGAAAAACAAGCTAATGACACGTCTAAGAGAATGACCATTTAATAGTTACTAGATAAACTCTTTTCACAATTTTGCGCAATAAACGAAATATAATTTTAAAAACATTTCTATCAACAATATATAAAGTATTTTTTTTTATACAACTTAGAATGGCAAACACGCTGACGGCCCACCTGATGGAAAGCGATAACCGTCGCCTACAGACATGAGCAGTACCATGGACATAACAGAGTATTCGGTTTCGCCCATGATACCCCCCATGCGTTGCCATTCCTGAGGACTCAGGTGTTATTCCTCTGTACCCAGTAAATTCACGCCATATCCCACCCTTCAAACCGTAACACAGCCATGCAAACACAACTGCTTCACGGTTGATGGACTTTACGGTTATTATGTTGACTAACTTCAATTATTAATTTGCTATGTGGTCCTAGCATAGAATGGATTACCCATTCCTTTCTTGTGAATGAATGAATGAGTATACTTTATTTGCATTATACAATATAGGAAATAAGCAAGACAATTTACAAACACAACGATATAATTGTATAAGTACAGTAAGGCGGTCTTATTACTGAGAGCAATTTTTTCAAGACAATTTTAAGAATAATATATATATATAATGGAATAATTGTTGTACAAGTAGGTATGATAGTATTGTTTGTTGTAAGGCGACTAAAGAACCTTAAAGGTCGAGAGATGGATAGCAGCATCCTCTTAAAACGTCACTAAAACCTAATTGCATCTGCCAACCCGTCTACCAAGCATGGCAACTGCTGGCAAAACCTCCCTTATGGGGGACGTTTATGTTCACCAGTGGCCAGTTAACAGCTGATGTGTAATACAGTAAAAACTCTATATAAGCAATCTCTCTATAAGCAACATTCTTTATATTTTATTTACTCTACTCAGCTTAGTTAGTAAAAGAAATAAGTAAAAATATTTTCCAGACGGTAAGCATTTTTAAACTCCTTTTTTTTCCTGTTAGTAACTTTTCCCAATAAGAAATTTTTTTATTGAAATTGGTTCAAATGAGTTGCTTATATAGAGCATTCACTATAATAATAAATAAATCAGTTTGGCTTTTATTTATGTTATATTTGCACATGAAACTTGACCCCCATCACAGCAAGTGTTCTGTTACTCATTTAAAGACAAATAATAATCCTATTTAATACTACTTTAATTACTATGCAGAAATGTATGTATCATTACTGCATAGTAAATAGAATAATATGTAATAAAAATGTAAACAAATAAATAACTGAAGTAATTAAATATGACACAGTCTGCTGATGTCCAATAGTAGGAGAAATAAAAAATCAATTGATTAACACATTGACCGCCTTGTCAGTCACGGGCGACTGACACTGGACTACTCCAATGGGACTACGCGACGCGTAATTTTTTTCTGTTGGCACTTTGTCAGTCACACGTGACTGACACATAAAAATCCTCATAATTTCCCACAAAAATGCATCAAAGTAAATTAAATATACATACCTCTACATAATTTATTAAATATAACTTAAAAACGAAGAATTTTTATGAAAAAACTTGTTGGCGGAGAATGTGTTAAATATTTCATTTCAAAAATTTTGTTACAAATTTAATTTAGGGGTACTGTCTAATACCGCGGCGCGAAGGACCACAATGTTGGGGTACGCGCCGCGGTATTAGACAGCCCAAAAAATCCCCGAAATGAAACACAACATACGAGAATGAGTATAATGTAAAAAAATTTATTACAGTACTAAATATTTCAAATCTACAATGCTATAACCTGGTTTTCAGGGAATTAAATTATAGCGTGTTTTAGAACAGAGCGCCATCTAGTATGAACGTTAGAATTAAATCAGAATAATAATTGTATCTCCGCACAAATCATTAAGTAAATCTAAATAAACCATTTGTAAAGTACAAATACAATATATATATAAAGTGTATAAACTATCAATTTATAAATAGTGGCGCTCTCAACATTCCGCCCACCAAGGACGTATCGTCCTTCCAATAACCGCCCACCGTAAAGAACCGTATGAATTATAATTAAACACTATTAAAATGCTAGCGAAACAATAATTGTTAATATCAAAATTAGCTGTCAATTGGAAGTCGACTGATCTTGGTGAGTGGACGTTTGATTACAGAATTTTTACATCTTAAACTAACTACACGAATCAAGCCATCATCTCCGGGATGTACGTTAATTATTCTGGCGAGGGACCACTTCCCGGGAGGCAAATTTTCTTCCTTCACGATAACAAGATCGCCAATTTTAACATCATTGTCGTGCCTCTTTGTCCATTTCGGCCTCTGTTGAAGTCTGCTTAAATATTCGCGAGCCCATCGATCCCAAAAATGTTGCACCATCCTCTGTACTAATTGCCAACGGCTCAACCTATTTATATTATCATTTAAATAAGATCTTTCCGGTACTACAATTGGCGGCTCCCCGATCAAAAAATGGCCGGGTGTTAGAGGTTGTAAATCATTAATCTCATCACTAATCTGCGATATGGGACGAGAGTTTAAGCAGGCTTCAATTTGACTGGTAACCGTAGCCATCTCTTCATACGTCAGTGTGGAATTGCCAAGAATTCTTTTTAAATGGAATTTAATAGAACGCACTCCAGATTCCCATAAACCCCCGAAATGGGGTGCAGCTGGTGGGATGTTATGCCATTCAGTGCCGTCTCTGGCAAGCATATCCAAAATTTCTCCATTTAAAGTGTCTAATTGTTCTTTTAATAATGCTCGCAATTCTTTGTTACCCGCAATAAAATTAGTGGCATTATCGCTTTACATATGGCGACAGTGTCCTCGCCGAGCGGTAAATCGTTTAAAGGCCGCAATAAAATCAGCACTCTCTAAACTACTTACAATTTCAATATGGATAGCCTTTGTAGACATACATATAAATATACATAAATATCCTTTAGAAGTTTTGCATCCACGTCCTTTTGATATACGTAGATCAATAGGACCAGCAAAATCTACGCCGCTATGTAAAAAAGCTCTTGTGGGTGTAACCCTCTGTTCGGGTAAATCGGCCATTAATTGATTATTAACTGTTGCACGATATCTCGTACAGATAATACATCGGTGTACTTCTTGTTTGATCATTCTCTTAATACCAAGAATCCAATACCTTTGCCGCAAATAACTTAACATGAGGGTTGGACCACCGTGCAAGGTCTTTTTATGTGCGTCTGCTACAATCAGTTTGGATACAGGATGACAATCAGGTAGAATTATTTGATGTTTAGCTTCTTCGGGAATATTAGCATGACGTAAACGACCTCCTACTCTTAACATTCCGTTTTCATCTAAAAACGGTGTAAGAGAACGTAGTTTGCTGCATTTCTTTACAGCTTTGTTTTCCTTTAAATAATCTATATCTATGGAGAACTCTTCATACTGACATATAAGGATGCAAGTCATCAAAGCGTTATTTAATTCTTCAACTGTAAGATAACTAGGAAACTTGTTCGTCTTTATATGTCTGAATCGTTTACAGATTGCAATGACCCTCTGGAGTCTAGTCAGTGTAGAAAACCGTGTAAATATTTGTGAAAA